CCCAGTTGTCTGTTAGGCATTTTGTACTTTAATAAGGCAATATTCATCAGCGCTAGTTCATCAAGCACTGAGAGGTATCTTAGGTAAACTATGGACTTTGGGTGATTATGATGTCATCGTAGGTTTATCTTTGGTACAAAAGGTGCCATTCTGGTAAGTGACGTTGATAACGGAGGAGGCTCTGCATGTGTGGGAGAAGGAGGTATATGAGAAATCTTTGCACCTTTCTTTCAATTTTATTGTAAACTAAAATTGCTCCAAAAAAAAGATGAAAAAAAAAAACCCTTTAAAAAAGAAAACCTTAACAGTAACATTACAACTATAAAAGTGTCATGGGAAAATTATGGTCAAAACTACAAAGAGCAAAGTCACCTCCTCAAAGCACAACTGCTGTGGCCTGAAACATTATCCTGGCCTACAGTTTAGCTGATGCAACTCGGCAGTGAAAAGGGCAATCGAATCTGGTGCACGCTTACCTGGGAGACACTGTGGATTCTACCGTGTGCCTGTACAAAAAGCGTGATGAATCAAGACTTCTGGGAAAAGCATCTTGGCTGAAACACAGACATCACCAGGCTATCCAAATGAATGGCACCGGGGGTAGACGGTAAAAGAACGTATGACCGGTTGACCAAAATGTTGTCAAAAAAAGATAAAGCAAGTTATCTATCACAGGAAGACAACCAAACCCTACCAGTAAGGTATCCTGGTTGTCTGAATCTCGACCCCCCCAAGACGTCCACCTCTTAATCCTCAACCATCATAAATATGCCACCTTATGTGGCAAAGAGGATTTGCAGATATAATTAAGTTAAGGATCTTGAGATGGGGAGATTATCCTGAATTATCTGGGTGGTCTAATGTGATCACACGTATCCTTATTAAGGGGAGAAAGAAGGGTCAGAGTCAGAGAAGGAGAAGTCAAGAAGCAGAGGTCGGAAAGAGACAAAGATAGAGATTCAAAGACAGAGAGAGGGGCCAAGGGATGCAGGCACCTCTAGAATCTGACAAAGGCAAGGGAATGGATTCTCCCCTGGAGCCTCCGAAGTAACAGCCCTACTCACGCCCTGACTTTAGCCAAGTGAGACTGATTGCAGGCTCTCTGACCTCCAGAACCGAAAGAGAACAACTTTGTGTTGTTGTAAGCCACTAACGTTGTGGTTATTTGTTACAGAAGGCATGGAAAATGAAGACAAGATAGATGGATGGACGGACGGACAGTCTAGTTTTTAGGACAGTAAAGTGACAAGTTGAAAACCTGCAACACCCTTGATACTGAGTTCTTCAAATGTATTCAGGCACCGGAATATAGCCTCAGAGATTCCTATGATCGTCAATGGACTGGGGCACGCCTAAGGTGGTCCTCACGATCCTCATCAACAGCCAATATGGTAAAGCTTTTCAGTAAGGCTCCAAGGCTTGGACTTTATTTTCATTAACATTTCTTACAGGAATTTTACTCCCTTCACACAGAGTCTGAATCTATCTATGCGCTCAGCACTCAAATTCTGTCTTTCTCAGAATAGCCCAAGTCCCATTCCTTCTCCCCAGTTCAATCCCGGCACTCGCTGACAAGCACCGATGACACGCCAGGCCCTGGGGATAAACCAGAGGCCCACGCACCTCTCCCCTTTCCTTCCTAGCCCATGGCAGGAACCCCGCCTCTGAGTTCCACTCTGTCTCTCTTACCAACATGGCGCTTAAGGCACTGCTCTGCATTCTCCTTAAGTGTCTATCTTGTCTCTATGTTGGTCCCCAAATAGAGCACAGGCCTCTTGAGGGCAGGAAGTGTCATCTAAAATTAACTTTTCTAACACTTAAAAAAATTGAAAAATACACACAAAAATTGTAAAACATATTACGCACAGTTCAAAGAATACTAAAACAAAACATCCACACAGTCGCCCTACTTTACAAATAAAGCCAGTCTTAGAAGCCCCATCTGCTGCTCCCCTGATCATACCCTCTTCTGCCATCCTGGGGGTAACCACCCTCCTAAATTCTGACATAATCATTCCCTTTTTTTAAAAAATAGTTGTACTATTATCCCAGCTTGGTTTCTGAAATAATTGTATTCAGTTTTGCCTGGTTTTGAACTTTATATGAAAAAATCATACTGCACATATTCTTTGGTGACTTGTTTCTTTCACTCGATACCGTTTTTGAGGCTCATCCATGCTCCTGCAGCTGTAAGGTACACTTTCACTGCGGCACAGTAGCTCATGGTACAGATACACTGTATTCATATCTCCATTGTATTGCTGATGGGCATTTGGGTTGTGTTGGTTTTTACTTTACAATTACAATCAGTAATGTCATGGACATTTTTATGCACCTCTCCTGGGCACACACGTAAGTTTCTCGAAGAGATAAGCCTAAGAGTCAAATTGCTAGGGCCTAAGACATCCATGTATTCAAGAAGATGCTGCCAAAGTGGCTGAACCAATTTGCACACCTGCAACAAGTATGAGTTCACACAGCCTCTTCCTCAGTAGATGGCAACGTCTAACAGTTCACCTGCCCACAGGGTACTGTGAATTGGGATCTCATTATGGTTTTAATTTACATTTCCTGATTCCTAATAGGGTTGACTGGGGCATTTTTCTAATGTTCACGTGCTGTGTTCCCCCATCTATGAAATGCCTAATCCTAGCTTCTGCCTTATTTCTATTGTGTTGTCTTTTATTTCAGAATTGTAGGAATTCTTTCTATATTCTAGATACCAGTTCTCTGTATGTTTTGTCTCTTTACAGAACATTCAATAAACAGAATGTCTTCATTTTAATATGGGCAAATTCATCAATTTTTTTTCTGCATGATTTGTGCTTGTGTTTTTCTTTCAGAAATCCTGTTTTAGCCCCAGGTTATATATTTTTCTATATTATTTTCTAAAAGTTTTCACAGCTTTGTTTTTCAGATTTAAGTCTTTAATCCTTCTGCAGAATTGTGAGGTGTGAAGCTGGGATCATATCCCTCTTTAACATTCCTCCTTAGGACCTGGCATGGTGCTGTGTATACAATATTTATTGAATAAATAGAAGCAAATACTGCTTTGTATTCAAAGCTCAAATTTCATTCACGACGATGAAACTTAAAAAGCTTCTCAAACTTTGTGTCAGTACTTTAACAGTTATTATGGTGTATAATGACTTTTTCAAATTTCCTTATCTTCCTTTGCCAATTTTTTGTAGACCACTAAACTGAATTAATGGAAAGCTGAGTGGAAGCTGAATTAAGTGCTCATCTAAGAGCCAACAGCATCTAGTCCTAGGTATATGCCAAAGATAACTAAAAACGTATGCTCACACAAAAACTTGCATAGCTGTGTTCATAGCAGCACTATTCACAATAGCTAAAGAGTGGAAACAACCCCAATGTCCATCAACAACAGATGAATGGAAAACAAAATGTGGCCCATCCACTAAATGGATCAAAAGAATGAAGTAATGACTCATGCTACAACCTAGACAAACCTTCAAAACATTATGCAGAGTGAAAAAAGCCAGACAGAAAAGGCCAAATATCATGATGCCACTTATATGAAACATCCAGAAAAGGCAAATCCACAGAAACAGGAAGTAGATTAGGGTTGCCAGGGGACAGTGGAGTAGAAAACGGGGAGTGACTGCTAATGGGATGGGACTTCTCCGGGGGATGGGAATGTTCTGGAATTAAATAGTGGTTTGGTGATGGCTGCATGCTGAATATGCTTCTATGAAAAGTATACTTTTTAAGTAGCTAAAATGGTAAATTTTATGTATGTAATTTATCTCAATTAAAAAACAATTTCATGCCCCTGAACTATTACTGTAGTAATTAAAACCGCAGACTGAAATGCCTTCCTGGATTTGAATCTGGGTTCTCCATGTAAGAGCTGTGTTTTGGGTCAAAGTGAAGTTACTTCACCTCCCAGCTCTTCTTACACCACCTATAAACATGGGGGTAATAGTTCCTAAGATTATAATGATAATTAAGTAAAGTGATACACCTAAAGCACTTAGAACAGTGACTGGGACATAAGTGCTCAATAAACGTTAGCTTCTGGTCACTGTCATTAAGTGTTCAGTGTTAGTAATTGGCTATTTGTGGTGGCCAGGGTTAAAACTGAGAGCTGACTTTATGCAAAAGGCTCTAAGTGCTTTATTTCTGTGGGCTCACTTATTCTCTCATCAACCTTAGTCAGTGCTACAATCATTCATAGCTTTCGGATGGGGAAACCGAGGTAAAGTGACATAGCCTGGGCCCCGCAGCTAAGTGGGCGGTGGTAATTCAGATCAAACTCTATGGAAGTCCAGAACTCTGGCTGGTGGCCCCACTGGGAGACTCCCAGGAGGGCTTCTTGCTGGCCTCACCGGGGGCCGCAGGGTTTGCTGTGGGCTGTGTCTGGGCTGCACGTTCCTCTGGGCAGAGCCAGCCTCAAAGGTCTGCAGAACCCCTCCCTTTCCAGCACCTGTCAGGGCCAACCAAGCAAGCCCGAGCAAACGACCGCCGCTTCGGGAACTGGTGGTGCTCTTTCTTCGAGCGCTACCTCATTCTGAATTACTTCTAATTCAGAAGAAATCACACTCAAACCAAGTCCTTTGGTAATGAGAATAAAGGAGCATGGACAAAGGGAGTGATTTTTCAGAGCCTCGTGGGGAGCACCCGGGTCAGGGTCTGGAGGAGAGGGGGACCAAACGCTTGGGGTGGGTGGGGCCCAAGATCTGACGGGTCCTGCAGGGAGGAGACGGGCCCAGCAGAGTGGGTCCTCTCGGGTGCAGCGCCAGGATGGAGTTGAGGAAGGCAGTCTGGGGTTGGGGGACACGGGTCTCGAGGGAGAGGTGCTGGGGGAGAGGTTCTAAGGGAAGAGAGGGACGAAGGGGTCCGAGATGCCGACGGCGTAGAGGGGTACCGATCCCGGGGGGCGTGGCGCGGAGGGAGAAGCGGGCAAAAGACCCCGCATGCGCCAAGGGGCACGAGGCGAGTCTAGGACCCAGGGTCTGGCGCGGGGGTCGCGATACCTGCAGAGGCAGCGCAGTCTCCAAGCCGCTGCTGGCAGACCCGCGCGACCGCCGCCCCAGTCACCGCCGCCGCAACTGTCTTGGGCCGCGCCCCCACGTGACCCGCGCCGGCGCCTGTGGGAGGAGCGGTTGTGAGTCCCGCCCCTGGCGTCCCGACGTGAGGGTCCGTCGGAGTGCGCGTGCGCAGCTGTTGCCGTGGATACCGAGAAGCGTTGGGCCGCAGGAGACGCGTGCACTGGTGGTTGGCTGCGAAGGAAAGTCGGACCTCCCTGGCTCTGCTAGGGGCAGTAGCCACCGAAACGGGGCTCCCCGTTGCTACGGGGTGTCCGGTGTTTCCAGAATAAACATGCACCCTGAGGTCTCGGAGCCCAAGGAGGACGAGGGAGAGGAACAGGACTGCGCGCAGAAGCCGTGTGTGATGCCGTCTGTGGAGGAGTCTGCAGGTGACCACGGGAGCGCAGGCCAAGGAAGCCGCAAGGAAGGTGCTGACCGCCGCCCCAGGGAGGCGAGGGAGGCAACGGGCTGCGCGCAACACCACATACCTGATCATCACAGCCAGCAATAACAACAATAATAATAGCAATAGCAGCCCACACTTATTAAAGAATGCGTGCCAAGCGCTCACCGCATTTGAGCCATACACTCGCTGTCTGCGGTAGTCACTGATATCCCCATTTCATACAGATGAGAAAGTTGGGACTTAAAGAGGTTATAGAACTTGCTTCAAACAGCTTACCCTTAGCCAATCAATAACAGAAAAGACTCAGACCTAGACAGTATGACTCCGGAGCCCACGTCCTTCCCCAACACACCATCCTTTTCCCCTTTATTGCAGGTGAGGTCAAAAGATGCCAGGGCAGGACATCTTAATTGAATCACAGTGTCCAGTTCAATACCCGACTCATGATAGAGAGAGTGAATGAAGAGCTGGCCGTTCTGGGGTCAGCAGATGACTGCTTGACAGTTTCCCAGAATGACCATAGAAGACAGATTTCAGCCTTTGCTTCCACATGACTTGGGGCCCTTATGGAAACCTTTTAGTGACTAGAAACTCCTTGATTTATGTTTCATTTTTGAACCCAGTCAACAAATATATCTTGAGCATCAACTGTCCAGGCAAGCCCTGTATGAGGAGCTATTGGAAAGCCATGGTGTTCTGTGGAAAGCCACTCACCCTAGGTTCAGATTGGCCAGCCTTATGGCTGTTGGCCCAGAACTTAACCTCTCTATGGAGCAGTCTCCTCATCTTCAAGCAAGGATAATTATAATTAGAGTTTGTCATACAATGGGCCACTAATCATAGCTCTTGTTATTAATATAATCAAGCAATTATTATGTATTATAAGCACATATTCTTTATTTCACAAACCTTTATCTGATCTTTCTCGTGACTGGGCATTGCATGCAGTGGGAAATGGGAAAGTGTAAGACCTATTTCCACACAAGAAGAGCAGGGCCTCATTCAATAGGCCTCATAAACACACAGCAGAAGCCAGCGACCCTCAAGATTTAAGTGCATTTAAATTGGTCAATTTTGATTGACCTTTAAAAATACTAAGTGCATTTGAATGTGCTCATTTCCACTATTTTTATTTCTTTTTGTGTTTTTTTCCTTTTGAGAACTTTTTAAAGAAGAGAGAACATAGCAAACACCCATGTGTATCACCACTAAGAACTGAAAATGATTAACATTTTTATGATACTCATTGGAAGATTTTTCAGATAATTTTTATTAAATTTATTGGGGTGAAATTGGTTAATAAGATCATATCAGTTTCGAAGTTTCAAGTGTACATTCTATGATACATGATCTATATATTGCATGGTGTACCCATGACCCAAAGTCAAATCATCTTAAATCACCACGTATTTCAAATAGATTTGATACCCCCCCATCCTAGCCCCAGTCCTTTCTCCTCTATAATTTTGTATGGATCCTTTCAACCCTTCTCCCTCTCTCTCTCTATATATATATATATAATTAATATATACAATATAAACAATGCATATAATATATATTATATTAAATATAATATATTATATAATTATAATATATATAATTATATATTATATCCTAAGTGCATTTGTATATATAATTATATATTATATATATAATGTTCTTAAACAATGCATATCATTGGTTTGTTTTTTTTTAATTTATATAAATGGCATATCCTGTGCTTATTATGAAACTTGCTTTTTTTCACTCCGTGTATGTTTCTGAGAATTAGCCATATTGGTGAGGTAGCTCCAGTGCATTCTTTTCCAAAGCAGAATATAATAATCCTTTGTTTTATTTAACCAGTTCCTATGGATGGACATTTGCACTGTTAACAGTGTTTGGCTGTTACAAATAATGCAAAAATGAGTGTCTTTGTACACATCTCCTTGTGCATCTGTACAAGAGCTTTTACAGAGGACCTACCTAGAAGCAAAATTTCCATAGTGCTTCAAAAATTATTATACATCTAAAGACTACTGGTGTTTCATACTATTTAGCAGACAGTCTTTAATCAAGTTGAAATTGGGGGAACTTGTAAATATATTTCTTGATCTCCATGGAACCAATCTCTTAATTTTACAGAAATTAATGATCCTAAGGAAACGTGTACGAGTCCTTCTGACACAGCCAATGAAAGTGAGAAGAAACAGAGTGGTGATAGCAGTTCAAACAGTTGCTTAGCACACCAAAGGAATGACAAGGAAGATCATGGCGTCAGGTATGTGGGCATGGTGCTGCCCATTGCAGTACAATTTACCAGGTGAGGTAGATGGTGTGATCACCCCTTTGTACGCTAAGGAAATGAGGCCCATGGGGATTAAATAGCCCAGTGTCTGTAGTAGTGGAGTCAGGACAGCCTGCCTCTGTGCACAGCTACTCACAATCTATTAAACTTTAATGCCAGACATGGAGAGAGAAGCATCAATAGTTCTTGATGACATTGTCAAAAGTATTTGTATTAGAACATACATTGCAATTTTTTAAATTGCTGAAAGTAACAATATTAGATGAGTACTTGAAAGCTGAAAACAATGAAGAATTTAAAATAGTTGTCAGGCATATAGGATGTTGTGGATTTGGAGGAAGGAAGGGACGTGGTAAAGAATTTTTGGAATCTATTTCAGAACTGACAAACTCAAATAAATTTCTTGTTCATGTTTTTCATTTAACAGAATGACTAAAAATCTCCTGCAAAAACTCTGCAAGCAACACAAGCTTTATATTACCCCAGCATTGAATGATACGCTGTATTTACACTTTAAAGGTAAGGATCTGGCAGAGGAGGTGTCTCAGTCAGGCAGAAAGACTCTGGTGGTATAACAAATTACTTGCAGGTATCATCTTGAGTTCTCAAACTATATTTAAGTCGAAATTTCAGAGTTTAGTGGACATTTATGGAAAAACAATAATATTTCTTTGAAGAGAAAACCTTACCTTAGAGTTTATAAAGGGGCCATTGGCTCTATAGATACAAGGAAAACACATTGGTATCTTTTATTTAAGTTTTCCAAAGACGTAATAATTTTTCAACCCAGAAGCTAGTTGTAAATGCTTCGGGCTTGGGTGGGATATGTTGTGCAGGATTGAAGACTGGCATAGAAAACAAAGGATGAGGAGCATGGAGTGCCTCTCAGAATGGAAAGGTATAAACAATCCCCAAGGGCTTAGGGTTGGTGTCCAGCATCATATATACACGTAAGTTTGGGTTCATAGACAGGGATGTTCCTTGCAACGATAAAGAGTGATAATTCTCAGTCAGGGCTGGATCGGCTGTCTCATCAGCCCTCTGTTTATTTATTAAGTGTTTGCTGAGGGCCGCCTACGTGCCTGGCACTGCTCAGTGCTAGAGACAGAGGTGGGTACAGCGAAGATGCCACTGGTGTCCCGGTGCAGCCACTGTGAGGAGTGCTGGGCTGGGGAGCTTCACAAAGGGCCCCAGCAGCACAAATCCCTGAACAGTTTGGAACGGCGCTCAGCTCGTCTCCTCACCTCCACGTCATCCCCTTCAAAATTCTCCGCCCAATGTCCAGGTGTAGCAGTGAGAGGATGACTTGGGAAGGCAGATCCCAGGGGACCGATATTTAAGAGGTAGGAAGAAGAAGAGGACCCAATAGGTTAGAGCAAGTGGGAGTCAGAGTGGTAGAAGAGCCGGCAGAGAGGTGCACCCATGCCATCCACTGCTGCGTGACAACGTATCCCCATACTTAGCGGCCTAAATGCATCATCTCACATTGTTCCTCAGGGCCAGGAATCTGGGAGTGACTTAGCTGGGTGGTTCTAGCTCAGAGTCTCTCATGAGGCTGCAGTCAAGCTGTCAGCTGTTTGCTTTGCTAGCTTTCAGTTTGGCTCATAAAACTGAAAAATGAATTAAAACGAGAACCCAGTTTGCACTAGCTTCAGGCTTAGCTACATCCTGGTGCTCATAATGTTTCCCCATGAGACTCTCTCTCCCCTCTTCTTGACCCTCGCTTTCTCTGGCTCATTTCAGATAAGTCAATCCTTGCCTGCACCCATGGAGGGAAGGTGGCTGCTGAAGTGCTAAGTGCCCCTTGCCAAGCTGGCCACTCCCACATAAAGACTACCTTTTTCCAATGGAGCCAGCCACATTCCCGGGGATTCATCCAAGTTGGCCTTCTTATCTAAGCATAACCAGCCTAGAATGAATCACTGTGACACTGAGAGCCATGGGGGAGTGTCAAAGAGGGATGTTCCTCAAACCAAAGTAGTACCATTACTAGAAGAAGGAGGTGTGGATGCTAGGCAGGTAGGCAAAACAAGGACGACTCTTGTGTCTCATATGTGCATGGAGGAGCTTCACAGACACCCCGTTCTTGCTAGGTTTCGATCGCATCGAGAACTTGGAAGAGTACACGGGGCTGCGTTGTCTCTGGCTCGAGTGCAATGGAATACAGAAAATCGAGAACCTGGAGGCCCTCACCGAATTGCGTTGCCTCTTCTTGCAAGTGAATTTGCTTCATAAAATCGAAAACCTAGAACCTCTGCAGAAACTGGATGCTCTTAACCTCAGCAACAATTACATCAAGACCATTGAAAACCTCTGTGAGAATGCCCTGCGTGGGGTCGTCCTCAATGCCATTATGTCCGCCACTTACCCCTGGGGGAGGCTCTACAATTTTATATTATGGGCAAAAACATTTGTATATCTTTGTTGTTTACTCCTGCTGACCTCATCTTCCAGCCTGTCTGCCAGTCCTGAACACGCTCCAGATAGCCCACAATCACCTAGAGACAGTGGAAGACATTCAGCATCTAAAGGAGTGTTTGAAACTTTGCGTCCTTGATCTTTCCCATAATAAGCTGAGTGACCCAGAAATCCTGAGCGTCCTGGAGAGCATGCCTGATCTGGTAAAACACTCAACACTTACATATCTTAATGCTCTTTAGATAGTACATCTCTTCTCCTCTCCTTTTCCTCCCTCCCTCCCTTCTTTCCCTTCTTCCCCCCCTCCTTTCACACTCTTCTCCTCTTTGTATTTTTAGCTGCACTATCTTAAATGCCAGATACTATATCATTTCTCCCACAAATATTTTAGTGTGTATCCCTGACAGCTAAGGACCTTTCTTTTTTTTAGCATAATGTACTGTTATTACATCTAAAGTATTGTAATAACTGCAATTTAGTATGCAAACCATGTTCAATTTTCCCCATTTGTCTTAAAGAGTGCATGTTTTGACCATTGGGTTGTTCAAATCCAAACTAGATGCACACATCACGTTAGGATTATTCGTCTCTCAAACCTCTGGATCTCTCACTGTTTCCCTCCTCTGTTTCCCTGCCTCCCTATTAATCTGCCAAAGAAAGTGGGCCCTCCCCCTGGCAGTGTGCTCATTCTGGGCTCGGGTGATTGCATCTTCATGGTGTTGTTTAACATGCACTGCTGTGCCCAGTATTTCTTGCAGAATGATAATGGAGCCAGAGGCTTCATCAGGTCCGGGTTCAATACTTAACTTCAAGGTGAGCTGTTGTATGGCATCATGGGGCATGTAATATCTGGTGGTCTCTCTTCTTGTGGCTTTAGAATTGATTAGTGGCTTCAGGTGTTAGCATCCTGACCAAGCCATTATAAATGGTGGGCATAGCCTAGATGCCCTGTTCCGTCAGGAGTCACGTGATGGTCATTTTCTACCTTTCTTATTCCTTCTGCATTTATTAGCTGGAGTGCATCTACAAAGAAGAACTTTCATCAACTGAAAAATGGATGTGATGTGAATATTTTGCATGTGCTGCGCTCTAAGTATAACTAGAACAGGTAGCGCCAACATCACGCCCTGATGACTTTGTTAGCGAAGGCTGAGGGGTATCATTGTTTCTGTGCCATCAGACCTGTCCTGGTAACAGTCCAGACAGAAAGGCTGGGAAAAATGTCTGCTGCTTCTTTTTTATTTATCGACTTTCAGAAAAGTGAGTCAAGACCCAGCAACAAATTAATGGTGCCAATGAAGAGTTTTCCTTTTTTCCATATCATTATGAACTCATGGATTTACATACACACTATTTGATATGATTTAACCCTTGCTCTCATTTTAATTGTGGATGCTCAAATGGTCCCGTCTTCTAGCCTGTGACAACCCCTCAGGTAGCACCTGTGTCCTTTGACTCAATCGCATTGGTTTTTGTTGGCTTCCTTGCTTTTTAGGATAAATGTGTCACCATTTGTACTAGGAAAAAATATTTAAAATAGCATGCAAAGCCCTCAAGTTCGCTGTTTGCTGCTTAGGGCATGGACAAATAAGGAAAAGGTGAGACAATCAAAAGAAAAATAGTTCAGGAATAATCTGCAGAGAATACTACTAGGAAGAACCAGTTTTGAATTGCTAGCACATGGTGATAATATAAAGCTGTATTATATCATAATATTTTCTTTTCACTTAGCTGCCATAACATTATCATGGGCTTACACAACAGAAATTCATTTTCTTATAATTCTAGAGGTTGAAAGTCTACGATCAGTGTGTCAGAAAGATTCATTTTATTCTGAGGGCTCTCTCTTTGGCTGTCTTTCCCTGTGTTTTCACATGGCCTTTCCACTGTGCATGGCTGTGTCTGAATCTCTTCTTTTTATAAGGACATCAGTCATCGTGGATTAGGGCCCATCACTGTGACCTCACGTAATCTTAATTTTCCTCTTTAAAGGCCCTGTTTCCATATACATGCATATTCTAAGGTGCTGGGGGTTAGGATTTCAATATACGATGCCCGCAACAAGAGCAGTCGGCCTTACAGTTTGTCTTAGGATCGCTTTAAAATTCTCCACTCCAATGCACCCCTTGAGTGCCTGCACCTCGAGTGTACCATTCCAACCAGCCCACCCCCCACAGGACAGGTCACTTGAAAATATGACAAGAATGGTGAAAGCGATATGAGCATAAAGATAGGGAAAGGCTAAGCTAACTTGTTCACGATATGTTTATTTTCTCCAACAACAAAAACCACTTAAGATATGAAAAGTATTTCATCAGTTTAACTGGTTTTAAATGGTTCACCCACAAGTCTCCTTAACGTGTGCGTCACTTTGCGTTGCATAGGCAGAAGAGGAGGTAAAAGTATTTAAAGAAGAGGATGGCATGCTCTCATTGAATATTTCTCGCTCTTACGTGATACGGACAAAACATCTTGGAGACCTGTGGGCCTGGCGGGAAAGGTCCTCGCGGGAGATATGGGGCACTTGCCATCCTTTCCCCTTAGTGACCGCTTCTTGTCTGTCTAGCTGCTGTGTACTCTTCATAAAACGGTCCTGGCTGCGAAGGGGAGAATGCAATCAATTAGACTGAGATCAATTCCAGTCAAAGAGATTGTGTGAGCAGAACTAATGTAACCACTGCTGTTGGAAGAGGCCTCAGGAAATGTTTTACCCTATTTTCCTGCAAGGACAGTGAGACCGATGACCTGAAGTTCAAACAAGGAAGGGGCTGCCCTGTTATCAGGACGGTTCTGACAGCACAAAAACAATGACGTCCTTCTGGCTTCACTAATAAAGTCATTGGGACATAATGTTGGCCCTTCTTTTTATTCTTTGAGCGCAGCACATGTTAAATATTTAAGTCACATCCATTTTTTGAAGTAATTAACTTGCTTCTGCTGTTTGCTTCCAGCGTGTCCTGAATTTGATGGGAAACCCAGTCATTAGAAACATCCCTAACTATCGAAGGACAGTCACTGTTCGACTAAAACCCTTAACATTCCTGGACGATAGACCGGTTTTTCCAAAGGACAGGTAAGGACGAGAAAAGCCTTTGATCACATCTGAATATGTAATGGTTGAGCATGCTTATTAAACTTCTAAAAAAATTCTGATTTTTGAGCATTTTCACCCATTATTAAATTCCTTGGAAATGGGTTTAATGGCTATATAATTATTCATACTAGAAAATTCTATATTTTTGAACATTTATTCATAGGTTTCAAAAGGAATCCTTTGATAAGTATCATTTTATCTAAGTCTCTGACCTCATTGCTAATTATTTCCTTAGGGTGGAATTCAAGGTGTTGTATTATTGGGTCAAAGAATGTGATCTGAGCTTTTTTAAAGGGGCTTATATTTTCCAATTGTTTTCTAGAAAGTTTGTAACAATGTATAGCTTCCCCAGGCATTGCCATATAAGACATCTTGGCCAGGCGAATTGATGAGTGAAGATGGTGTCTCCTTTTAATTTTGCATTTTTGGGGAACTGACGAGGTGGGTTACATTTTCCATCTTTGTCCAACACATTTCCTCCTCTCTGAGTATTCCATTCGTGATTGCCTCCCAGTGAGTTGCCTTTATTCTGGGAAGGCTTTTTCTTATTGATTCGTAAAAGCTCTTTTCACGTTAAGAATAACATACCCGGGATGGCCATGTGTACTGTCACTATTTTCTCTGTGTTTTAAACTGAGATCACTATTCATTCTAACTTAGAATAAAACCTTAGTCATATGGACAGCTGGAAGGGAAGCGAAATCTGAATTCTAAATGATACAACATTTAAAAAGAAATGTAGCTTAGGAATATGTTTTTGAACTCACAAATTTAAGTCACACTAATAAATACTACAAGTAGAAGTGAGAGCCTTCACTCCAGTGAGATGAGAAAACAAGAAGACCTGCTTCTGAGATGTTGGGCGGAGGTGCACCCGGTTCCCCAGGTCCCCAGCCCTGGCGGTGACGGGGGACAGCAAGTGGAGCCTGCGTGCTGACTTGAAAGTCCAGCTCTGCAGCCCAGAGTTCTGTCCCCTTACGTGGACTCGCTAACCTCCCGAGCCTTATGTTCCTCATCTGGAAAATGGGGACAATACTGACCACCGGGCCCTCGTGAGTACCTGTAAAAAACACAGGGGACTTGAGCAGATACCGAGCTCAAAGGAGTGAACCCATGGGAGGGATCTGAGCCCCCCACCCCCGCGGGGTAGCACTGACGGGGCGGGGGGTGGAGTGTAAACAGGGTTTATATGAGGCAAACCCCTCACAGAGAGATGCGTCACCCTGCACAGCGTAGCACGACTCTAGTGAAGACGTCAGGTTCCTCTGGGTCTGAATCCTAACTCCACCACTCACTAGCTGGTCCACGTTGGGCACTGGCTCTTCTCTCTGCCTCGGATGCACATCACAGGCGTTGGCACGTGCCTGCTCACTTGTCATCTTATTAAGGTCTCCGTGATCCACCACTTAATTGAAGTGGCACCTTTTCCTCCTGGTGTCCCTTCAGCCTGACTTCTTTGCTTAGGACACAACAGCCTGTCACATGCTTGTTCCCTTGTTTAGGGTCTGCCTTTCCCCACGAAAGGGCTGCTCTGGCAGAGAGCGATGTCGTCTCCTCTGCTGCCTGCTGTGACGTGACCTGAGCCCCTAGAACTCTTCGCCCATTGTTGTGTGCAGTTCAGTCGTCTTTACTATATTCATGCCACCACAGTCAAATCTAGAATATTTTTATTCCCCTGAAAAGGATATTCCCCTAATGCGTTAGCAGTCACTCCCCAGTCCCCCTCTCCCAGCTCTGGGCAATCACAAATCTACTTTCTCTCTCTCTAGATTTGCCTATTCTAGACATTTCCTATAAAGGAATCATGTAGTATGTGGTCTTTTTTGATCAACCTTATTTACTTAGCATAACGTTTTTAAGGTTCATTTACATTGTAGCAGGGGCCACTGATTCATTCCAAAATAAAGTTGCAAAATAATATTCTGTTTGGATAGGCCACATTGTATTTATCCATCAGTTGATGGACATTTGGGTCCTTTCCACTTTATGGCTCTTGTGACTAATGGTGCTATGAATATTTGTGTGCAGGTTTTGTGTGGATATTTGTTTGCAGCTCATCTGGGTAAATACTTAGGAGAATGATTGCTGGATTATATGGTAAATTGTGTTTAACTTTGCAATTTCCAAACTGTCTTCCAAAGCGGCTGCACTGTCTGGCATTCTTGCCAGCAGTGAATGAGAACGCCTGTTGCTCCACAGCCTCACTAACATTTGGTGCTGACAGTGTTTTGGATTTCAGCTGTTCTAATGGGTGTATTGTGGTATCTTGTTTTAATTTGCATTTCTCTCTTTTCATACGAAATCGAACGCCTTTCCATATGCTTATTTGCCATCCACGTATCTTTTTTTGGTGAGGTGTCCAGCTCTTTTGTCCCCTCCCTTTTTTTAAGTTCTGAAGTGTAATAGTTCTTTGCATGTTTTTGGATACAAGCCATGATTCAGTTTTCTTTCTTGTAAATATCTTTTCCCAGTCTGTGGTTTATCTTCCCATTCTTTTAAACTTCGCCAATTTAAAATGTTGTTGTCTCTGTATTAATGAGTTGTGAATTTCTTTGTATATTCTAGGTACAAACCCCTTATCAGGTGTATGATTTACAAATAGATTCTAATGATCTGCAGGTTGTATTTTTACTTTATTTATGGTATTCTTTGCATTACAAACATTTTTAATGTTGATGAAGACAAATATCCCTCTTTTTTCTTTTGTCACTTGTGTTCTTGGTATCATATCCAGAAGGCCTGCAAACCACTGGACTTGATTCAAATGTATATATGTTAACTGCTGTCCTTACAGTCACATGTCCTATGTGGCTTTGGTTTGATTTGAGGGAAAATGAACACGTTTAGGCAGACAGTATATGCTTTGAATTTACCTTTAACCTATGAAAATTCAAATGCCCCTGGTTTCTGTTTCTTTTTTTAAATCCTCAACAGAGCTTGTGCAGAGGCCTGGGCTCGGGGAGGCTATGCAGCTGAGAAAGAGGAGAGACAGCAGTGGGAGAACAGAGAAAAGAAGAAGATCACAGACAGCATCGAAGCCTTGGCGATGATCAAGCGGCGGGCTGCAGAGAGAAAGCTGCAGAAAGAAAGTCAAGGGAAAGGTATGCGCTGAGACGCAGATGGCAGCCAGAGCTCTGTTTGGGTTAGAAATCCATGCTGTCAGATTTGCAGTCTTCCATCTCTGGGGTGTGGGTGTGTTGTTTGTTTGTTTGTTTGTTTGTTTGTTTGTTTTGCACCACACCCGTTCCCCCCGGCCAGCATCTGATAGAGGCTCCTAGTGAGTGAACGAGTCCGGGGTCTGCCCAGGCCCAACCCTGACGCGAGCCTGTAGGGCTCTGGGGATGGTGCTCAGGATGCCTGGATAAATAAGAAGCTCCTTCCTCGTCCTATACCGTAGAAAAGCAAGAGTCTCCTTGTATATTTCTAAGTGACATTTATTGTTTTTCACCTAATTACGAAATGTGAGGACACTACATGCAGAAAAGCACAAGGAATAACATAATCACAAGAACTACTTACTACTTGGTGTGGGTATTTCCTGGCTTTTCCCAGGCATGTAGCACATATGTGTTTTATAGAAAAATGGCATAATTATATTGCTTTCTGCCTACTCTTTTGAATTAGCATAATATATTTCCCATAAAATAGACTTTCTCCTACAGCATTTTCCTTTTCTCAACTTTTCATTTGAATATTTTTAAAATTTTCAGGAAAGCTTAAAAAATAGTAAAATGAACAGCTGTGTTGTTTCTTTAGGTCAGATGGCGTTTAACGTTTTCACACACACACAGACACTTTCCTCTTCTGATGAACCATCGGAAAGTAAAGGTAGATATCGTGGCCCTTAAAGCCTGTACTTCCAGGTGTGTGTCCTAAGAACTTCCTGCATTGTTTTCTTGACGGCTGCGTCTTGCTCCTTTAGATGGATGAGCCAAGTGACATTTCGCTCTGTTTAGTTAGCAATCCTGAAAAGCCCTGCCTTGATGAGCACCCCTGCCGGCAATTCTTTGCTGGTCCCAGACAGTTCCCTGGGCTCACTCTCTGCAGTTGACTGCATGTCCCCAGGGGACCTGCAGACACCCCTATCCTCCCAGGGCATTCCCTGTCCACCTGTGGACTTTTCTTGTCCAGGGGAGGTGCCGACGCCAGACGAGAATGAGACTGTGGGTGTCGATGAGGAAGGGAAGGAAAAGCCCCGTGAGGATGGAGAAAGGCAGCAGAAAATGGAGCTGTTTGTCAGGGAAAGCTTCGAGGCCAAGGACGCGCTCTTCCCAGACAAGCCGGGCCTCCTCGAGGAGCTGCCTGCAGACGTCAATGCAGAGGTTGAAGACCGGGACCCGGAAGGGGTGCCCCCAGCTGAGGCCCCCAAGCCAGCCACCCTGGGAGCCACCTGGGAAGGTAATGTGATCAAACAACACAGACGCTGGCCCAGGGCAGCTCTCCTGGAATCGCAGCCTCTGAGGGCCCAGGGGCAGGTCTCCACTTCCAGTCGCTGTTTCTATAAGATAAAGGGCACAGATTGTCTCCCTGTAGTAGCAATGTAACGGGGGCCATGGCTACGTTCTCTAGTAGTCACATTAAACAAAGTAAAAAGAGGTAGGGGAAACACTGACAGTATGGCTTATTTAACCCAATATATCTAAAATATAATCATTTAAATCAATATAAATTATTAATGAGATACTTTACTTTTGGGGGGTACTAGATCTTCCAATCCATTATGTATTTGACACTTAAACAGTGCATCATAATTCAGAGGCTAACTCTTCAATGAAGTGAAATGAAGTCCTACTAAAAGAAGTGAGATATTTTATACTGCTCCAGCTTTTAAATTTAATTAAAAACAATTATATTGTGGGAGGGGAGGGCAGTGGGTGGAGGTGGGAAAGGGTATAAGAGGGGTAAATAGTAATGAAAAAAAACAATAAAAGTAAATTAAAAAAACAATTAACTAAAAATAAAAATTAAAAATTCAGCTCCTTGGGAGCACTGGCCACATTTTAAGCACTCAGTAGCCGTGCGTGGCTCTGGCTACCGTGGAAGATGATACAGATCTAGAAAAAGGAACCCTCAGCAGGTTCTAGCCAAGGTCCTCGGGTGCTGCCAACCAACAGGTAAACCCAAGACTTATCCAGGACACCGTCCTATTGCTGTGGTATTGGTGAGGATGAGCCAGACCTGGGACTTGTCCAGTCCATAGGGCTTTGGGAGACAGGGATCGTTCTATCCCCAGCCCATGAAGTATTTGAGGTCTGTTTGGAGACTTTAACTGGTCTTGCCCACAATAGAAGTTCTCCCAGAATGAAGGTCCCACTGTCTGGAAGAGACCCAGAAGAACTGCTGACTTAAGTGTTGACATACATATATTCCTGCACAATCACTCCCTGTCTTGTAATTTTTTCACTTTGAAGCTGCAGCTGAGTTTTCTGTGAGTGAAACCAGCCTTTGTCTCACTGAACAAAGCGCGCGTTTCAAAAGGAGCGGGTTAACTGCAGCATCTGTAATAAACAGATGCTGATGATTGAGATAAAAGCCAGCTCTATATTTATCCAACAGGTATGGGCACTCAGTGAAGGCCACAGCTGTACAGGCTGTCTTGTTTAGCCTTCTCAACAACCTTACGAGTTAGGTGCCTTTTTGGAGTTGGAAACTGAGGCTTACTTACTCCAAGTCACAAAGCAAGTAAATGGTGGAGCTCACTGCGGGCCTGGGGCGGGGGTGTCATCCACAACGGCAACCATGGAAGCCTTTTGCCTCCTTCCATGTTTCATCCTAAACTGGTGCCCCAAAGTGGCTCTTTGGATCAAGGGGGATACGGCCAGTACTCAGGGTGGACACATTGGAATTACGTGTAATGAGAAAAGTTGTGCCATAAATCTTTAATAACTGAAGCCTTGAGACTGATAAAAAAGTAGAGAACAGGACCCAAGGATACAGACTTGGAAAGTATGAAAAGTGGGACCCTGACCGAAAAGTGGTGGCTCAGGCATTGTCCTGAAAAGTGAAAGGTCGCTGGTTCAATTCCTGGTCAGAGCACATGCCTGGGTTGCGGGTTTGATCCTCAGTAAGGGCACTTACAAGAGGTAACCAATCAATGTTTCTCTCTCTCACATCGATGTTTTTCTCCCTTCCTTCCCCTCTCTCTAAAAATAAACAAAATCTTTTTTTAAAAAGAAAGAAAAGTGGGGGCCTAGAGAAGAAAGAGGAACACCACCTGGATTCCATATTTATTCCCTAGGCAACACTGAGATCATTTCACAGGTCTCCCTAACAGCTGTGCGGTGGGGAGGGCGTGTGCCCTGAGGGACCGACAGCCCAAGAAGGCGGTAGGTTCAGCCCTTCCAGACGGAGCTACGAAACTTGGCTCTCCAGCTCTCCCCTTCTCTGGCTCCCCAGTTGACTTCGATGCCATTACCTAACTCCCATCAAGCATGCCTTTTCTAAGGTTCCTGCGCATTCTGCGTTGGTTCCTGGCTGGCACTTCGTCGCATCCGAGTCATCTCTGGGCTCCAGGAGGGGGCAGTTCTCTCCTTTTCCCTTTCCTTTCTTTTTAGATAAAAACGCCATCCTTATCTGGGGATTCTCACAGCTCCTGCCACAGGGACTGGCCTTTCAGATCCAAGAGGGTTTTGTCCTTCCTCTTCTCTTGGAATCCGCCTTGACCTTGGCCTTGTCGATCTGACCACTGTGTGTAAAACTAACTCCAAGACTAATAACTGACCCTTTGTTGTTGTTCCTTAGAATCAGCTCCCCAGAGTGTGGCCACTGAGAGTGCATCAGGTTCAAAACTTGATGAAGATTTGGAAATCATTACACTGGAGACAGAGAAGAAGCTCTTCATCGACGTATGTAAATAGTGCATGTGGAGTTAAGTGTCTGTTTTACAACCTGTAAAACAAGTGATCAGATATAGCCCTTCAAAACCCTCACTCCCCTAAGGGTGGTCCTTGGGCCAGCAGGCTTAGCATCACCTGGGTGCTAGTGAGAATGCAGAATCTCAGGCCCCACCTAGACCTACTGATCTGAATCTGCATTTTAATAAGATCTCCAGGGGGGTAGGGGAGGTGGCTGTTCATGCCTGTACACATTCAAGACTGAGAAGCGCTATCCCAAATGATTTCCCTTGAACTGTCTACAAAACTCTCAGTTTGTTTTCCCCAAAGACGTTACACTGCTAAGCCATTCTGTCCAGCTAGCCTTATACCTAATGGTTGAGAAAGTTACATTTTATCATCAGAGCCTCTAATCTATGGAGCTGCCTAGCAAGCGGCTGCTGCCATCTTCCTGTCCTGTGGCTGCTCCAGCTTCCTGCGGTGGCTGTCCAGTGTCTGGTGCCCTGAAGCCGGTTCAGTGAGGGGCCACCTGACCTTATTATAGATTGCAGCCTCATGAACCCTCCCAGTCCGGAAACTCTTTCTGTTTTGATAAGCCCTCAGTGCTTTGGCCCAAGGAATGAGCACTGTGAGAATTCACACATTTTGTCACCTCCTCCCCTCCACCAGGAACTGGAGTTTGGTGGTGAGGCAGGGAGCGCAGAGGAGACATGCCTCGCACCTTTAACCTCACACTAGTGGGCAGTTGGCGCTCCCTCTGCTCACCCAGGAGGACAGCCCTACTTCTTGGCCCATGAGTGAGCTCCTGCCATTTAAACCTGTGGGTGCAACTTTGCTCCCTGCGCACCTCCTTGATAAATGTCTAAACTGGTTTTCATTTCTAATTTCACAATTTCACGTGGCTCAGTAAGACAAACTACTGAGTTTGTCTTCCTAGTTCTCTGGGCCTATGTATACTAAGAAACAACAAGTGGGTGATATCTAGCATTTGAGAATCTACTGTATACAGGGCAACTAATTGCTAATACTTCTTGTTCTTACTCTTTGGCACTATTCTAAATAGATCTTGTGTTGGTTGATTTACCCTTCCAATAACTCTGAGAGGTAGGTACTATTTTCATCCCCATTTTGCAGATGAGGAAATTGAGAAACAGGTTAAGCAACATGCCCGTGGCTACGCAACTAGGCAACGGTGCAGGAGGAATGCCAAGCCGAGCAGTGGGGCGCCAGGGTTCCCACATCTCACCACACACAGAGCTGCCTGCCTCACATGCTGCACCAGTTGTTAGGGATAAAGACACCAACGCACTGCACAAAAGCCCTTCTAGTATTGGTGGGGGAGGGGTCCAAAATATACTCACTCTCACCGCATAGAGTCCCAAGACTAATTTGTACATATAAGGCGCATTTGATTTGGACCCCATCATGGCCCCCCTGCTGCTGCAGATAACCTGGCTGTATGTCTAATGACAAAGTCAAGGGGAGAAAGATGTGGAAATTCTTCAAACATGTCACGCCTTGCAAATCTCACTCATTGATCAGATCCAGATGCTAGAAGTAGCCACATGTGTGTTCTGTGAGCGTGCAAGGGGCTGCCTGAACAGTGTGGGTTATTCCCCATTTCCCCTCCGAGCTTGGCTTGCACATAATGCAGGCTTCCTTGGCTGTGTGGAGGCATTGGTCTCACCTACCCAACGTTCAGAGTGTGCACACCCTCCTGGTGGCATGGGCTCATTTGCTCTTTCAGGACCTACCTGACTTAGAAGACGTTGATACAGGCGAATCTCTGGAAGACCAAGACAAGGTTGTAACACAGGTTTTCCCCAAATCAGCATAATTGCCCTTCCACTCCCAGTCTCATCACTTACAAAGGGTATCCCCTTAATTCAAAAGTAAAATGCTCTTCGTGCTTAAAGCATTGCATACCCCCCTGTATTTTCACCTTTCAAAAGGAAATGTAGCTGCTGGCTGCTACTTACTTTAAGGTTTTATGATTAACCACTGGGGTTCTCTTGAACATACTTTATCACTGATTTTAATTATTACTTTTTTATCCTCACTGAGGACATGCTTATTGATTTTGGGGGGTGGGGAGAAAGAAGAGAAACACCAATACGAGAGAGAAACATCAATCAGCTGCCTAGTGTATGTGCCCCAACTGGGGACTGAACCCGCAATCTAGGCATGTGCCATGACAGAGAACCAAACCTGTGGCCTTTTGGTTTACAGGACAACGCTCCAACCAACTGAGCCACACCAACCAGGGTTATCCCTGATTTTTAATCACTATGTACTCACACAATTACCTTTTTTTCCCTTCTGATGTATTTATATGTCCATCTTATATATGTCTGTACTACAGAGAGGGAAGGAAAAAAGGGAGGAGGGAGGAGGAGTGTGCGGGGCACGATGGCGGGTTTTCCCCCCCTGACCGGACCCTCCAGCCCCCAGCACTGCTGAGAACCCGTGTGTGCCAGACCCGGGCCTGGCCAGAGGGGAAAGGACAGGACACGATCTGTGCAGGACCTCATCACTGAGGAAGGGACAGACACGGACCACAGTTCCCACAGGGCCCGACCTCCGAGGGGGCTAAGTCCAGGTGGCCGGGCTAGTTGTGTGCCAGCCAGAGGCCAAGGCACAGAGATTGAGCCAACTCAGGGCCCTGGGGCGCGTAGGTGCAGCCAGAACAGAGTGGGCAGCGTGGAGACCCACCAGAGGGTGAGAGGAATGTAGAGGTGGTTGTAGAGCTTACCACAACCTTGGGGCTCAGAAATGGCTGGCAGAGGGGGTCCGTCCCGAGACCCGGCTTTCCAAGAGGAATGCTCTGCTCCCTGGGCCCTTTCTCCTATGTAGCAACAGAATATTTTGTGCTAGGTAAAAGTGGAATCAGCATTGCGCATTTTATAATGACTATAGTGAACGCTGTGCATCTTTTTTTTTTTTTTTTTTTTTTTTTTTTTTTAACAGAAGACGTGCGCTCCAAAGATTACAACCATCTCGAGCTTGAGTGACGACAGTGACCCTGAACCGGACTGCACCTCGCTGCCAGTGTTGGAAAGCACGGCCACAGACAGCCTCTCAAATATCTTCACAGTCTCCAAGGACACCTCCAGGAAGGCTGAGGCACCCTTTGTGCACATATTTAAAGCAGCAGCAGAGAGGGATTTGGAGACCCGAAGTAGACACACCAAGTCCCCACGCCCGCTGATTCAGGAGCTCAACAATGACGAGCTTTCGGGCCAACCACCAACACCCCCAACCTGCGAGAGGGACTCTGCACCACCCACTTCCAGCGAGGATAGGGATGGGGACCTACTTTCAGCCTCTCCTCCAGGTAATGCCACTCTCAAGGGCACAGGGGTTGAAAGCTTTGGTAGTGGAGAATGAACTGTTGACCAGCCAAACCCTGCAGGGGATAGGCAACGGGGCCGTTGTCCTTAGAAACCCATGCTGTTGGAGGTGGTCACTCACAACTGAACGCGGAGATGGTTGTGATCACATTGCTGGCTGTATGCCTCGTTAAGCTACCGCCTTCCAGTTGCTGGCCTGGGCCGAGAAGCTGCCAAGCCAACCCATTCCTGCGTGGGTGGGGTCTCCAGGCTACTTAGGGCCGTGCAGCTCTTGGCGGCCTTGTTCAGCAGGTATAGACGGAGAGCCTACATTTTCACCCCCTTCCTCAGCCTTTCCCAGACCAAGTTTCTGAGCAGGGAGGAGGCGACCGGTGACACCACAGCTGGGAATGTGGGACAAACTAGGGTGACAGCAGGCTTGAACTGGCGGCCCCTCCACAGTGGAGATCCAGAATCAGGATGCATGATGTGCAACAGTGCTGGCAGGGAAGGGAGGTTCGCCCGACAGGGACAGTGTCCAGAGCAGCTGGCTTGAGGGGACAAATGAAGCCACAAGGTGATGTGTTTATCAGTCTGGCCTCCTGCTGGGGGCCTGAGCATGTGACCAGGAAGATGCATTTCTTGGGGAAGCTGGCTAGTGCTTACTGCTAACAAGCAAACTGGCAGGTATTCGGTAGCCAGGTTGCTATATGGATGCCAGCTTGCGTGGTTGACTCAAGGCCTGCATGCGGGAAGAATCAGGATGACCACTTCTCAAGAATACCGATCACTTTCTTTCCTCTTTAGAAAACAGCACTGAAAAGGATGGAGTGCAGCCTGACACAAAGCCTGAAGAGCCCGCAGTACCCGAGGCGCGAGACCAGGAAGACATTGAATTTGGCTTGGACTGAACCCCTCTGCGCTTGGGCTGACAGGGAGCCAGAGGCTGGGGGCAGGCCCGTCTCCCCCCACCCCCGGCTGGGACCCCCTTCCTTCCTGCAATTCCTGAGAGTGCTCTGGGGCCTAGGCTGCGACGGGCCCGTCACACAGCCCCTGCCAGTGTTGGGCACCACTGTGTTCCTTGTTCTCAAAGTAGAGTCCGTCTCCTGCAGTTGTATGTGCTATGAATTGTATAACTGTACATGTCTCACTTGAACATTATAAACATTTCAGTATTCATGTGAGATAATGTGTTACTGGATTACTTAATATCTGTTGAGTCACGTGTCAGCCATTTCATCGGGTACCCTGAGAAGAGACCATTTCTCTCACATTTGATTAAAAATCTAGACTAGGTCCTGGCATCCTGTGAAATTTCAAGTGGGTGTTTTCCTGACAGGTGAGCAGAATCTCCCACCAGGGCTGCAGAGCTTTGAGGAAGTGAACTTCATGCATTAGACCTTCCAGTCCCAGAAACTTTATCACTCAAATCCATGCTCAAGTGACACGTTTATTCAAAGCGTCTCCCTCATGGTAGAAATTAAGATACACAAACTAGCTCACAGCAGCTGCTGATGCCCACCAAACACCGCCAGGCACCAGCGGCTCCTTGCAGTGTTCTGTTTTGCTGTCACCAACCAGTGAGGAGCTGGCTGTTACCCTGTCACTGGGGACATGGGGTTCACAGCTTGCATGAGCTGGAGCGCACAGCCTGACAGGAGCCCCCGCTTCGAGCGCAGCACTGCCTCCGGGAGAGAGCCCTGAGGACAGGCCTTCAGGACGGACCGCTGGCGCGCTGCCATCAACCTGCCTTTGGAAGTATCTCCAGGCAAAAGAAACTACAGGAAAAACTACTGTTTTGTTGTTCCTGTTCCTCCGACTTGGGTCCAAATCATTTTGGGATGTCACCAACCACAGTGGCCTTTAGGAAGCAGAGAAGTCTGCACCCTGAGACTGCTCCCTCTGTATTCCTCAAGTGTCAGTCACAGAAGGCACAACTGGTCCGGGACCAAGGGCTCCCCAAAGGTGGGGGAGCAGCTTCCATGGGCCCTCAGAAGCCCATGCGGGGCTTCTTCCGGCGTGGCTGAGAGCTGGACAGGACAGGTGCCTGCTGCCCAGAGCGGGTAGTGCGGATGCTAGAGGTCTGGGAGGAGGGCACAGTGGCACCCCCCAGCGTGTCCCTTCGGAGTGAAAGCTGGGCTGCACAGTCCTGAAGGGCCTGTTGTCTGGAAGGGGTGGTCTGGATGCTGGAGGCCTGGGAAGAGGGCACAGTGGCACCTCTCGGGGTGTCCCTTTGGCGTGGCTGCTCAGCTGTGCAGTCCCGGAGGATCCGCTGCCTGGAGGGGGGGGCCTGGACGCTGGAGGTCTGGGAGGGGGGCACGGAGGCACCCTCTGGGGTGTCCCCTTGAAGTGGGAGCGTGGCCATATAGTCCCGGAGGGTCTGCTGCCGTTCTGACGGGATGCCCCGGGCCCACAGATCCTGGGTCAACTCCTGGGAGGGCAAGCTCGCTGGGGGCTGAGGCCTAGACACAGGGGACGTCCGGTCTGGGCTACGAGGGGGGCTGGTGGCATCCGAGAGGTCCAGACGGCCGCTGAGCGAGGAGAAGGTACTAGACAGCTGCGTCCGACGCTTGGGTCGCTTGGGTCGCTTCCCAGGCCCCAAGCCCCTGTCCTGCTGCCGCTCCCACCAGGCAGCCGCTGGGCCTTCCCAGGCTGTCTCCAGCCTCTCGCTGAGCTCATCCTTGGGGAATGGCTCGGGGGCTGGGGGTGGCTCTGCCGTGGGGAGTGAGCCCAGGTCCCTCTGCTGCAGCACCCGCCCCTCGGCCATGGCCGCCCGGAGACCCTCTGGCACTTTCCCCTCAACCTTCTGCTGCTCCTTGAGGCCTAGCAGGTGGCGGTGGGAAAAGGTGGGTGCGGCCCACACAGGGGGCACCTGAGGTACCTCCAGGAGGGCTTTCAGCCACCTGCGGCAGCAAGAGGAGGCCTGGGGGCTCCAGGAAGCCATCGGGGCATGGGAGTTGGGCCCAGGGTTGCCAGGGGAACTGGAGTCTTCCTGGAGATGGAGGCGCTGGTGGAAGACATCTCCAGCTGCCGAGAGCTGGAAGAGTGACAGGACTGGTGTGGAGGCAGAGGGTGCAATGGTGGCAACCAGACCTGGAGACAGGGATGACAATGACCCCAAGGCCTGGTGGGGGTGCGGCCCCCCCCAACTCACTCCCTCACCCCAGCATACCTATAGCTGGCGCCTGCAGACGTTCCTGCAGCCGCCGCTGACTCTTGGGCTCTAGCACGGGGAATGCGGAGAGGGAGTCGCTCCTGGAAGGGATAGACTGGGGGGGCCCTGCCAGCCGGGGTGTGGAGGCCCCCTCCCCTGGAGGAAGGACAGACAGCTGAGGTCCTGCCTGGGCTCCAGCCCTGCGCGCCTTCCTCACGCCTCCCGCCCTTACTGGTCCCTCACCTGCGATGTGCAGCAGCTGCAGCTGCCCGCCCTGACCTCCGAGGAGCAGCGGCCTCGGGCAGCCGGGGTGGGGTGGAGGCAGCAGCTGGGCCAGGAGGGGAGCAGAGGGGAGGCCGTGGTCCCACTTCAGCAGGGGCACCAAGGGGAGGCGTTCGTCCACCAGGTAGAGTGAGAACTGGGGGCCCAGCAGCAATGAGAGAGAAGAGACGTGACCGAGATAGGGAAGAATGGTCTGATGAGATACATCCGTCTTGGTGGCCCCACGTGGCTCTCAGGATGAGTATAAACCCAAGGGGTCACACACTCTGTGACCGGCTCTGGCCACCTCCCCACCGTCAGGTGCCCCGCCCCGCCCCAGAGGCGCTCCCCAAGTGGCCAGAAACATCTCTCTCATCCCGATGGCCACAACTGGAAAAAGGGATCTCAGGGGAGCTGAGGAGGAGCCTTGTCACACAGAAACCCGCCTGTCTTCCCCCAGCCTTCTCCTGACCCACCAGGCCCTTGGATCTATGCTTGAGGGACACCTACTGACACCCTGCGGCTCTGGGGTCGGGGGGCGCTATGGGCGTGGCAGACCCCTGGGAACCCTCAGACCTCCTCCCCTTTCCTGAGCACAAGGGGAATGGTCCAGCTTTGCAAAGACTGCTCTGCTCCCCTGCCCCGTTCCTTTCCTCCTCGCCTGGCCTGTCCCCATTGGCGCCTTAAAGCCCTGCTGGGTCCCCCCGTGAGGCCATTCCCACCGACCAGTTAGCATATTTAAGCCACAGACTCTTCAGGGTTTTGTGATTATCTCACCTGCAGTTAGTTGTTCCTGGGCCTCTCTAGTAACCGGCTAAGACAGTGCACACAAAGGACAGGAAGGGGAAGGTGTCACTCACCTGGGTGCAGATGAGATGGACTGTGGGCTGCAGAGAGTCAGGGCCACAACCCCCCAGGTACTGGCTTAGCAGGACACGTTCACCCTTCTGGCATGACGCTTCTGCACCCCCACGGAAAAGCAGCAAACCACAGCCTGGTGGGCCCTGTAGGAGAAAGCCAGGTCGGCCCTCCCGCAGTCCAGGGCTTAGGGCAGCACCAAGCTGTGGGATCCCGACCTGCTGTTTTTCATGCCCTGGGGGATGTCCCCCGTGTCAGCCCCCACCCCGCGTGCCTGCTATGTCCCGCTGCTGAACCTGACAACCCCGCCCCTCACCTGAGTATCGATCATTTTCACCCCAGTGCGGTCGCCCACAGTCAGCACGCGAGGGTGGGCCGTGAAGTCTGCCCAACGCCAGGGAGAGGGGTCGCGAAACACAAGGGTCTCAGGATCCTTGTAGATTTGCTGAAGCCTTGGGGAGACAGGGCAGCCATGGGTGGGGAGATGAGCTGAGGGGTTGGGGGAGGCATGGGCAACCTGGCCCTGGGTCCAGGACAAGTCGTGTGGGGAGCGAGGGCCGCAGAGCAGGGGGGCCGTTTGTGGAGGTGGAGGGTTTTTCAGGAAAGGGGCATTACCCATCTTGGGGTGTCCACAGACAGATGGCTCCTGAACGGCTGCAGACAACCAGCTCCCCGGGCAGGTGAGGGCTACAGGGCATAAGCATCGTTAACGCTGGGCCACCCCCTTCTCCCATGCCTGTGTCCTTGCCAGCCTGCCCGATTCGGCGCCCTCACCTGAGGTTGATCCCGGTGGCCCCCTTCTCGACTTGCAGCACCCGGAGAGGGGAGGGCTGCCCCTGCTTACTGACCTTCCACAGGGCACAGTGGTAGTCAGAGCGGACAGCCAGCAGAGCTGAGGAAGGGATGGAGAGAGCCAGGGTCAGGGTCAGGGAGCAGGTCAGTCAACAAGGGAGGGAGGTATCTAAGGGCCTTACATTCTCCCTGTACGGTGCAGGTCACCACCTGCCGGACAGGTCCCCGGAGCTGGATGTGGCCAGGGTCCCCAAGGATCCGAGGGTTACCCCCTGGGGTCAGACGGACCTCTTGGAAACCTGGGCCTCTTGCTAAGGATACGTACATGAGCTCTGATCACTGCAAGGCCCCCCTGGCCCATGCCAAGAGCACCTCCTCCACCAGAGGGTGCTGGCTGCGATCCTGCCCATGAGAAAGGATACATAGCCTGTCCAAAGCACCTCCTGCAGGGTAGACCAGCTGCCTGACCCGAGGCGTCCTTCCAGGCAGCAAGGCCAACGCGCCTCCGGTGAAAGCATCGTCGAGGAGCAGCTGCTCCCACCGCATCACCAGCTCCTCATGCAGCAGCTCTCCCAGGAGGTTCGACACTGACCTGCCCAGGATCGGGTCCCCGAGGATGGAGAACCGGCGCTGTCGGTGGCTGAAGTAAGCCCAGGGACACCTGGGGACAAGGGGATGACAGAAGGTCCGGCTCTAGCACTGATGAGGAGGGGGACTGGGTACCATCCCCAGGGAGGCCAGGTGCCGTGGACACATTTTTAATCTACCTAGAATTTCTTCCTGTAGGAACCACCCCACCAGGTGCGGTCACATGACCCAGACCCGGCCACGGGCGTACTCCATCACCCTGGCCACAGTGACTGGCTCACAGGTGGGCAGGACACCCAGGCCATGCCAGCGACACCCTTCCTGGGACTTCTGATGGTGCCTCAGGAAAAGTCACTGGCTCTTTCCTTGGACTCATAAGCCATCTTGCTGTACTTGGAAACTGTGTAGGAATTAAGCCAGGCAGAGGCAAGCGGATGAGAAAATAAAGAGACACAGCCCTATTTCAAACATTATTTTAAAATCTGGATGCAGCCATGCCTGCAGCCCATGAATTTGAATTCCCCTTCCCCCTTAGACCAGAGGAGCTGGGAGGCTGGTATGAGTATTATGGCTCAGGACTGCACGAGATAGGGAGCAACTGTGATGGAAACCTGGATCCATCCACGTCCAGTTCCTTCCACGTCCCCGCCACCAGCTAGGTCTACCCTCCCCATCCTTTCTCACTAGCCACTTGCCCCCAGGGCTGGTGTCCACCGAGGTCCTGGAGTATCCTCTTCACACTGACCACTGTCTTCTTCTTAGAGTAGCTCTGCGTGGAAAGGCCTTGTCAAGCGTGCACACCCTAGGGCTCACCCGACATGCGCTGGGAGCCCCGCTCCTGGCTGACCAGGGTCACTCACCCGTGCGCCCTCCAGTTTGAAATTCTCCAGCATCAGTTTCCCCAGGGGCGCAAAGGCTATGTCCCCATGGTCCCACAGGAACCGGCTGAACTGTCGAGGGAGAGGACACCAGGTCACTAAGCACAGCCCCAGCCACACAGCACTGTCCACTGCAGGGCCACTCACCTGTTCGGTGACATCCAGCACAGCTTCAGGCTCTCTCCGGAACTTGGTTCCGCACCGGAAAAGCAGATCCTGCGCAGTCAGGCCGGGGTCCCAGGGGTCTGAGGGAAGAGTGGAGTTGGGGCAGGGGTCTGTCCCAGGGCCCAGGAAGGGCCTGGAGGTAGAGCCATGTGTCCCAGGCGACGGGAGGTACCCAAGGACCCTGGTGGTGGAGGGCATCAGCAGGGGGAGGGAAGGTCTCAGGGAGGGGCGGAGGAGAGAAGCAATGGGGGAGCAGCTTGGAAGGGGGCCCCTGGGACCAAAACCCTTACCGGGACCAGGAGGCAGCAAGGGAAGGGGCCCGGGGGTGTCTGGCTCCCAGAGCAGGCCCTTGGCCACGGGTGGCGTCCCATTCTACAGAAACAGAACCACGAGAACAATGTCACAGGGAGCACACTCCCAGGACAGGCGCTGTCACCAGCACTTGTCTTTTATTAATGCATTCGATCCTCACAAGGAGTCTGCTGAGTTCCTATGATGATCATCGTATCATCACTTTACTGATGAAAAAACGGAGACACCGGGAGGCTGTCACTTGTCCCAGGTGACAGCCAGTAAAGGAAGGGCTGGGTGTGAACCCAGAGAGCTTGACTCCAGTCCGTGCTTTTGACCTCCAGGCTGCACTGGCTCTCAAAGGAGGCCCCGCACCATGACCGGCTGACCCGAATCCCCCCGACTCTCACTTCCACTCAGGGCCTCATGGTCACTTACTCAGGGCACCCGTAGGCCACTCCGCTCCCCACTGCAGGGCTGGGGATGGCTCAGCTCAAACACACGGGAGATGGAAGAGTTGGCACGCCAGGCTCCCTGAGGGGGCCGATCTGACTTCAGCCCTTCCTTGCCCAGGAAGCCCCGCGGCCTCCCTCCCTCGCCCTCCACCGTCTCTTTCAATGTTCTCACGCACTTGTCTCTGTCTGGCGTAGCCCTTAGCCAGCCTGTCTCCAAGCAGCGGCCAGATGGCTTAGGCTTCCAGGGGAAGAGCTGGTGTCCTTCCCATCCCAGGCGGTCTCCCCGCCCCTCCCCGCCACATCTCCATAGTGCGTTTCAGCATACTTTTGGTTTCACTCAAAGTTACTGTTACACTTTGTAATGATTTTGTCTTTGGGGCTGTTCATTTGTCTATTCTCACTCAATCTAACTCTAAGCTCTAACTCTAACAGGCAAAGACACAGAGTCCAACTTATTCATGCTGTATTCCCAGGGCCTAATGAGGTATCTGGCACATCGTAGGGGCTGTTCAATGAGTACCTTTTCAACAAACAAAGGTAGGAAAGTTTGGGGGAGAGAGGTAGAAAAGAGCGAGCCAGCCGGCTCCTGCTCAGTAAACCCTCTGTGGATGCTAGGTCATCCCATGGACCCCAAAGGCAGGGATTCTAGCTCAGCCTGTGTCTCAGCAGATAGACCACTCTGGACTCCTGCCAACTGGTGTAAATGCTAGAAAACAGTGAAGGTACCCACCCCAGAACAGCTCCCCCTGCCATCCTCACCTCAGAGGTCTGGGGCAGGGAGAGCGCATCTCTCCAGCTGCACATGAAGGACATGTCAGGGACATCGCTCAGGCCAAGGGGGCCAGTCATAAACAACGTGGGACGGAGGGAGCTGGGGAAGTCCATCCTGGAAAACAAGAACTGCGCATCACACTGGACTTCTCGAAGGTGAACCTGACCAATAGCCTCCAAAGGGGAGAGAGAGATGTGCCCTCGGAGGAGTATACTTTCTTTGAGGAAGCAGTTAATAACAGATGAGTATGTAGTCTCCTGCCAGATAATAAGTGCTATATTAAATCCAACTAACCATCCACGGCGGAGGGGATGGCAGTGGACCACGGGTGTAGTTTTAGGAACAGTAGCTAGAGAAAGCCTCATTGAAGAGGTAGCATCTGGCACAGCCTGAACCAAATGAGGCAGAGAATCAGAGACAACCGAGAAGAGAGTTTCTAGCAGAATGAGTAGCAAGTGTAAAAGTCCTGGGGCAGGAAGTGCTTGGGAAACAACTAGGCCACAGAATGAGCAAGGAGGAGATTGGTAGGGGATAAAGTCAGGTGGGAGGAGTCAGCTTCTATCATCACTGTCAGATATAATAATTACATATCTGTAATTATAATTACACATGCCCTATACTCCAGGCTACACTCTCAATACTAACTGAAGTTCCCCAAAGCCAGGGACTGAATCTTACTTGTCTGTCAAGTACAGTATCTTCCAGAAAATGCACTGTGTTGAATAAAAATAAATTTAGTGAAAGGGCTTTGCCTAATACAAAGTGTTCTAGAAGTATAAATAGCCACACTGTATGTCTTTAAAAAATTTTTTTTAGAGAGAGGGGAAGGGAAGGAAAGAGAGGGTAACATCAATGTGTGATTGTCTCCTGTGCGCCCCCTACTGGGGACCTGGCCCACAGCCCAGGCATATGCCCTGACTGGGAATCAAACTGGAGACCTTTTGCTTCACAGGCCGGCGCTCAATCCACTGAACCACACCAGCCAGGGCCTGTCTTGTTTTTTATTAAGAGCAAAAATAATAGCAGTGCTCACTTACTGAGTGCAAACACCTGCCAGTCACGGTACTACATGTTTTCTCCTTTCTCCCTATTTTGGAGTTCAGGAAACTGAAGCTCAGGAAAAAGCTACTTGCCCAAGGCCAACAGCTTGATCCCCTATCCAATTCAAAGTCCAAGTTCTGCACTACTACTCTCCTCTGCATCCAAAAGCAAACGCCAGTATTAGGGTCTTAGTAAGCACAAATCTTTTCCCTTGGAACTGCCACTGCATTTTATTAGTTTATCCTGTAAGCTCCATGCATCCATGTAGCCTCATGATCATCCAAACACCTGTCACATGGTGCATACTTGTCAAACGGGTATGTTTCTCCTGCACATCAGCTTCATTCTAATGGTGGTGTATCTGCATAGACTTATCTCTTCCACCAGACTGTAAGTTCTCTGAGGATCAGGACTGTATCTGATTCATTCCTGAGTTACTGGTGTCTGGTTGCTGCTGTCATTCTCTTTTCCATAACCAGAGAGGACAGTGGCAAGAATCGGGAGGTGCTCAGACACTCCATGTAAAAAAATGCCAACTTCTATAGGACTGAATGTACCGATTGCAACTTAAGGAGCAACCAAGCCTCCTGGAGGTGGCTGCATCCCTGACAAACCAGCACACACATACACACAGACACCCACACGCAAGTTTCCAGTCTGTCTCTTGTTCCTGGGCTCCAATCACACTGACTTCCTCTAGATTCTTCCTCGCCATGCTTTTCATCACAGGGCCTCCACCCACAATCTCTCTGCTTCCCATGGGTGCCAAGAGTGCCACTTCCTACCCACCTACAAAATCCTACTCCTGCTCCAGATTTCAAGTCAGGAAGTGCCTCCCAGTTTCCCCAACCCTATCCTCCCACAACACCCTGCATGCCTTCTCCAGAACACGCATGCAATGTATAACTACCTATTTAAAGATGAAGCTGTTTGATTAAAAACTGCTGCGCTAATCCCCAGGGGAAAGCGACTTGATTTATCCCCAGTGCCTTGGTATTTGTTACATCGAACAATTATACGAGTGAGTGGAAGGGACAAATCCATGACTAAATGAACGAGAGGAAAAAGAAACCTAACAGACTCAAACCCAGGCAGTCTGAGAGCACCGGCAGAGCCTACGACCTCAGAAAAGTCCCTAGGCAAGACAGCCTCAATTTCCCAACCTCACCCGTGGCTCTCCAGGTCCCTCCAGACCTCCAAGCGTGCATTACTACCACGCGAAACAAGGCAAAAAGTGTTCCAGCGGATAGATAAGGGGTACTGGACGGTCCCTCCCCTCATACACCTACTCGGCTGCATACTCCCTTATTCTCCTCTTCCCACTCCACCTCCAGGCCCCAGAATTTCGTAGTATGCCACGCTTCACATTTGTAGGAACCTCACCACTCCATGAGCTAGAGGCTAATAACTCAGTTTGCAGGTGCTGGGTGACCTGTCCCAAAGCCACACAGTTTGGGGCCACTGGACTCGCGCAGAGGGTAGACCCAAGCTCTCCTCCTGGCCCCTTCTGCCTGCCCTCCAGGCGGCGCGCGCACTTACGCAACCCAAGACTCGCCGTGCCCGTCTGGGACGTGGACCTCCGCTTGACACTAGTTCGACCCTCGAGACCAGACGGAGCCCGAAAGCGGAATCCTAGCTCCGGCAAACCTCGTGGATCAGACCCACAACAACAGTCAACTGGCTTCCGGGCCAGGACGGAAGAGCTCCCGGGAAGGCAAAAAGTCCCGCCTCCCAGCCGGACCTCACGGGCGCCCTACAACGCCACCTCCCGGGCGGAGGGGGAATGGACGTGGAGGCGGTGCCGCAGTCGCCAGAAATAGATGCTTAAGTCCCTATTGTGTAGGCTGTGTTGAAGGGAGTTCAAATTCCACCGCAGCTTAACTAACTTCTATTTCGCACGATTTTTGTATTAAATGCACTCAACAAACACTCAGTGAGCACCTACTATGTGCTGGGCACTGTATCACTCCGTAGGAATCTGAATGATTATCCTTACACCCTATAAAGCAGGCTTTGCAAGCAGAGGTACAGACTTGCGAATCATTTGGAGAGCGTTTTTTAGAAGTCGAATAAGCTCAGTCTGCATTTCCACGGTTTTAGTTTTGTGACTAAAAAATTTGGGATACACAGTTTTTCAAAATTTTACAGGTATGTATGCAAAAAATATATGACCATTTTTATTAGTTTCCTTTGCTTGCTGTAGCAAATTACCACAAACTTAGTGGCTTTAAAACAATACAATATTGTCCAGTCTGGAGGTCAGAAGCCTGAAATGGGTCTCACTGGGCTAAAATCAAGGTGTGGGCAGGGCTGTGTTCCTTGCTGGAGACTCCAGGGCAGAATAATTATTATTATAATTTTTTTTTAACAGAGGGTATTGGAGGGAGAGAGGGAGAGAAACATCAATGTGAGAGAGAAACATTGGTTGCCTGCTGGAGGCTCCCAACTGGGGGCTGAACCCACAAGCCAGGCACGTGCCCTGACTGGGAACAGAACTGGCAACTGCTCACTTAGCAGGACGACATCCAACCAACTGATCCACACCAGTCAGGGCCGTTTTTGTTTTTTGCCTTTTCCAGCTTCTGAAAGCTGTCTGCATTTCCTGGTTCACAGCCCCATCCATCTTCAAAGTCAGCAACAGCCAGTTGAGGCTTTCTCATGATGCCATCTCTGATTCTTCTGTCTCTTCAGACTCTTCAGGTTCTTCAGACTCTTCTGTCTCCCTCTTCCTCATTTAAGGACACTGGTGATTACATTGGACCTACCCAGATAATCCAGGATAGTCTTCTTTATCTCAAACTCAGCTGACTAGAAACTTTAATTCCACCTACAACCTTAATTCCCCTTTGTCCTATGATATAACATATTTATAGGCTGTGGGAATCAGGTCCTGGACATCTTTGAGGGACCATTATTTTGCTTACCACTCCTATGAAACACCCATCCAGGTTCTGCACTGGGAGGCCAAGTCCATTCCCTCCTTCTCGCCTTTCCTTTCTCTAAATAAGCTGTTATGTTTCCTTTTGTTATGTACATATACTTAACATGCAGTAAAGTGCCCAAGTGTTAAGTGTATAGCTCCTTGAATTTTTACATACGTTATAAACCCACATAGCCACCATCCAGCTCAGGACAGAGAGCATTTCCATTACTACAAAATATTCCCTGGGGCTCCTCCCCAGTTAGTACCTGCTTCAAGAGGTAACCACAATTCTGACCCATTACCATAGATTAATTTTACCAGTTCAAGAACTTAATACAATCATGCAGAAGTTATTCTTTTTAGTCTGGCTTTTTTCATTCAACATGCTTATGAGATCTACCCATGTTGTACATATAATGGTAGATTGGTTTTGTTTTTTTTTATTGAGTAATAGTCCATTGTATGAATATATCACTATTTTTTCATGCAACTTCCTGTTGGCGGTGTTTCTGGGTTTGGAAACTCTGTTCAAATCTCTTTGTGTTTATGGACAGCCATCATTTCATTTCTGAATACCTGCTGTGCTGGCATTCTATATCCTAGGCTGAATTCTGCTCTCTGAACTACACTCCAAAACTAGAATTGTGCTTCCTGGTGCAAATCCTTGAATTGTTTGGAAGGTTGCATCTACCCTGCCCACCCCTGCTTTTGCCAAGTAATACATTCCTGGTTCCACCAACTCTTTCTCACATGCCGCAGCATCCGCATGGCCACAATCCTGGTTAGCAAGCACTGTCAGGCCCAAAGGTAGCAATCTGCAGCAACCACGTGACAAGTGTTACAGACTGTAAGCTGCGTTATTGGTCCTGTCTTTCCATTCACTGGCCCCTAGAAGACTCAAATTTTTGGTCCCCTTCAAGCAATTATGTGTTGCACCATAGCAGGCCATATGTACATTTTCTTCATCCCTAATTTCACAAATTTCACCTTATTTTTGCTATTTCTCCTTCATCCTTCGTCCCCCATCTTAAAGGATTATTGTGTTATGGTATTTTTACGAGCCAATCCAAAATCTTTTTTTGAAGAAAGAAAGGGCAGGGTACTAAGTGTTTAGTGTTGTTGGCTAGAGAGCACTTCTGGTTGGCTTCAGGAAGGCATACAGTTTACAGGTTTCCCACCTCCCCCCCAATTTTTGGGGGGGCTTATTGTTCCATTTACTTATTCACACGTGACCTGACTGGGGATTGAACCCACCACCTTAGAGTATCAGATTGATGCCCTACGTAACTGAGCTAGCTGGCCAGGGCCGTATATGGTTTTAAAATGAAGATCCAAAAGATGCTTTGGAACTGCTTCACTTAACAACACCCTCACTTAACTGATGAGGATTTCCAGGCTCAGCTAAGTAACTCAGGCGTGTGCTGGGATGGCTGTGGTTTCAGGGCATTCCTGCGGAGCAGCAAGGTAGATGCTGAACTTGGGGGTCCCCAGACCCCTTCCCTAGTCTCTGCTTCCCCAGGACCAGGCCAGAGCGGAGTTCACTCATACCATTCCCGCCCCTCCAACCCCTGCCCCAGAAGTGGGATGTCGGTCAAAGTGACCACCGCCCACAACCAGGCAGTGGCTGTTCAGGAGACTGGCCTTCCCTTTGGTTGGGAGCCCTGTCTGCCACAGCTCTGCAGGCTCTCATTGGCCAGTGGCATGAGGAGGGCTGAGCTCGCCATGCGCAGTGTCCTGCACCACGTGCTCTCCTCGTGGGACCTGGCTGGGTGGTGTAAAACGGCCCGAGCCGTAAAATCTGCCTCAGTATTTTCTGGTTCTTTCTCGCATGCGGCCATGGCTTCATCGGCCAGCACTGGCCCAGGGGCAGATGACGGTGGCCGCAGGAAGCCCCGCCTGGCAGCCTCATTGCAGATTAGCCCCAGGCATCCTTCTGCCAGCCCGGGCCAAGATCCCTGGCAGCCTCGGCCTGTCCCCAGCGTGGACAGTGAGGGGGGTGGGCAGGCCCTGGCCTCGGCTCTGGGGGACGGTGGGCCCTTGGTAGCGGCTGGAGTTGGAGTACTGGGGACAGCTCAGGCGCGGGAAGACTTTGAGCGACCGATGGGAAGATCCCCGAGGGTCTCTGTCCCACCTACAGGGCCCGCGGGGGATTTCCCGAAGGCGGCCAGACAGCTGGGCCTGCAACTCAAAGATCTGCCGCCTGACCAGGCCGTGGCCTCGCTCACACAGTACGCGGCCCGTCTAGGAGTCTCCCTGATCTTCCGAGAGGACCAGACGGCAGGTGAGGTCCCAGTGTTCTGGGACGGCACACGTCCCAGGCCAACCCCAGGTGTAGAGGGGGATCCGTGAGCTGGGCGTGAGCCTAGGATCTGAGGCAGACCCTCTCTTCTGCCTAAGGTACCCCGTCCACTGTTGATGTGGGTAGATGTGGTTTTTAGTCATTTATTTTTATTTTCTATTTTGACAAAATTTCAGAGTATGAAAACTCCTATAAATGCTTCACCCCCGGATTCTCCATTTAACATTGCCACCCTCACTTTGTATATGTGTCTTTTTCTTTCTTACATCTTTATGTATAAATATCCACATTGATTTTTTTTGAACAATCTGAAAATTTAACATTGATATAATATTATTATCCAATTACCATTCATGTTCAAATTTTGCCACTTGTCCCAATGGCCGTTTTTCCCCCCCAAACCAGCACAAACTAGCATGTTTAGCCGTCAAGCCTCTTTAATCTTTTTTTATCTGAAACAGTTCCTCAGTCTGACTTTATCTTCAGGACACTGATGTTGTTGGAGTCAGGGCTAGCTGCTTTGTAGAACGACCTTATACCGGGGTTTGTCTCTTTCCTCAGGCTTGGGGTCCAGCTCTGCATTATTGGCAGGTGCACATGGGTTGTAAATCCCACCAGGAGGCCTGTGATCTGTTTGTCCTGCCACTGGCAGCATTAGCCGGGAGGGCCTGACTGGGGGTAGTGTCCAACAGGTGTCTTTTCTTTCCCCTTTGTGCCTAATCAGTCATGGGGCGGGGGGGCGCGGCAGTGAGGATGGTGAGTATCCTGTTGTCTGTAACACCATCACCTCGTTTTCTTTTTAAACTGTGTCCATTTTATTTTATTTAAAGATTTTATTTATTTATTTGTTTATTTTAGAGAAGGGGAAAGGGAGAAAGGGAGGGAGAGAAACATCAATGCGTGAGAGATACATCAGTTGGTTGCCTCTTGCTGCCCGCAGCTGGGGACCTGGCCAACAACCCAGGCATGTGCCCTGACTGGGACTCGAACCAGTGAACTTTCAGTTCGCAGGCTGGTGTTCAACCCACTGAGCCACACCAGGCAGGGCTTTTATTTGTTTTTAATGATTGTCGCCAGATTTGGTTCCTACCGTGCTGGCTGCTGCATGTTGGTTTTCTGAGGCCAGCCTTTTTTCTGTATCTACCAGTGGCGTCCTTGGTACCATTTTAAAGTAGGGGAATCTGGGTGTTAGTAAGCGGAGGTGGGGGTTCTCTCCTAAAAGGGCAGTCCTTTTGGGAAACAATTTAGCAGCAAGTACCAGCAACTACCATGAATTGAAATGTTTATGCCTTTTGACCAAGTGATCCTAGTTCGAGGATTTTCATGTTTCTTTTGTGTCCTAAGTAACACCTGAAATGATAGTGTTTGGTAGTTGAAACTTTCAAATGTAGGAGAAAAACAGAGCGCGTGTCTATGGAAAGGCAGAGGGGTGCTATGTGCTCAGGGCCATTATCCTGAGAACAGCACGGCCCTGGATTTGGGTCCTGGCAGTACCTGGGCACACTGTCTGCCCTTTTGTGTGGCCTTTTGTAAAAGGGGGGCTTCCAGGCCTATTTCAGAGGAGTTGGTGAGGATTCTCTGACTGACGGTGGCTCAGCACACCAAGGCACGCACTGTGCCTGCGGCAGGAGTCGGCAGTCTCTGTGCTTATCATTCTGGCTGTCTCGGGTGTCAGATGGCGGGAGGAAGCCCAGCTGACAGCTGCTGTGGCTCAGGTGGGACAGATGCCGTGGCCCTCCTAGAGAGGGCCCATGGCGGACATGAAGTGCAGGGCACCACTTCACGCCCCTCGTTCCCTAGACCCCTGCTGCCCCTTCTCTGTATGGGTGGAACTGAATGGGGTGGCCTGCCCTGCGGGCACCGCCAACAGCAAGAAGGAGGCGAAACAGCAGGCGGCTCTCTCTGCCCTCAGCTACATCCAGAGTCAGCTGGAGAGCCCAGGTAAGGGGGCAGGTGACCCAGGTGACAGAGCCCCAGCTGGGGGGTGGGGGAGTGGGAGGCGGCTGAAACTCTGTGTGCGTGTGCATGTGCGCGGGCAGGGTGCGCTGCTGCAGAGACCAGCTGCGCATTAGGACCAGGCCTGCAGGGAGCTGGGGAGGGGATGTGGACTGACCCTTGCCCTAATGTCCTTTGAGACCTGCCCATCCCCGGAGCAGGGACTGCTTTCTGGTAGATGACCCCACCCAACAATGGAACCTCTTGGCTTCCTGAAGGACAAAAGGCGGGAGGGCAGTCCCTAGCACCCATGACAACCCACACCCTTGTCTCTCTTCCAGAGTCCCCAAAGACCCCCAGCAGGCCTCCACTTGACAATCTGAATGTAGGTAGGTGGGCCCCTGTTGTCTGACACCTGTGGTGAGAGAAGGGGGCGTGGCCTGTGGGTTCCCCACCTCTGCCCTCTCCCCCATGTGCAGAGAACATCCTGACCCACGAGCAGCGCTGCGCAGCTGTGGTCAGCGCCGGCTTTGACCACCTGGTGAATGAGGCTTCACCTTACCGGGCCTGTAAGGGGACTGTGGCTGCCGTCATCCTGGAGAGAGGTAGGGGTGGGCCGACCAAGGACCCCCTACCCCACCTCAGAAGGCCCCCATGGGTCCCTTGCCTTACTTAGTCCATGCGGTCTCTGCTTTCTGTCCTTGCAGAGGTCCCGAGTGCCAGGGGCCATACCAAGGAGATCTACAAGCTGGTGGCACTAGGCACAGGCAGCAGCAGCTGTGCTGGCTGGCTGGAGTTCTCAGGCCGGCAGCTCCATGACTGCCACGGTGTGGTCATCGCCCGCCGGGCCCTGCTGAGGTGAAGGGTGGGCTGGGTGGGTGCTCCGCGGCAGCCCTGCTCAGGACGTGGCATCTCCCAGTTCTCCTTCCCTGTCTCTCCCAGATTCTTGTACCGGCAGCTCTTGCTGGCAACACAGGGTGGCCCCAAGGGCAGGGAGCTGTCCGTGCTGACGCCCCAGCCTGGGCCTGGGCTCCCCTTTGTCCTCAAGCCCCGGATCTTCATACACTTCTACGTCAGCAACACCCCCAAGGGAGCTGCTCACGACATCTAGTATGTGGGGCGTCCCAGCGAGGTCCCTTGGTGTGACGGACTGGGGAGGGCAGTGTCAGGCGGGGTCCGAAGAGCGGCCCTGGCGCCGGTGGCCCAGGCCCTGCCACCTCCCCTGCCTCTGCAGCCTCCCGCCGCCGTCCTCAGAGGGCTGTCTCCTGCACAGCGCCCCCTTCCGCCTGCAGGCCCACATCCGAGGGGAGCTGAAGCCCGTGTGCTTCGTGTCCCCCACGATCCGGGACACCCACGTGGGCTGCCTCTCGGCCAGCGACAAGCTGTCACGCTGGACTGTGTTGGGACTGGGTGGCGCCCTGTTGGCCCATTTCTTGCCTCCCCTCTATGCCACCAGCCTTGTCCTGGGTGAGAACCCAGGGGGGCGTGGGGGTGGGAGGCGGGCTCTGGGTGGTCTGTAGGAGGGGGTGGTGACTCAGACCTTGTCTTACTCCTTCTGCTTCCACAGCCGACCCCTGCCACGACCCTCCCACTCTGAGCAGTGCCATCCATACCCGGCCCAACCTGGATAGGGTCGTGGGCGCGTGCCTGCCACCTCCGTATGCCCGTACCGCGCTGCACCTGTTTTCGGGCCCCCCCGTGGTTCCTTCAGGCCCCACCTCCAACACCTGCCGTGACGTGAGCCTCAACTGGAGCCTGGGGGACCCTGATGTCGAGGTTGTGGATGTCACCACCGGGCGTGTGAAAGCCGAGTGAGAAGGGCCTGTGGGTGGGACCCTGGCCTCCCTGCCTGTGGCATAAGAGCATGCATCTAGTTACCAGCCTGGGTTCGAACCCCAACTCAGCCTCTTAGAGCAATGTGACCATAGCCAGGGCTTCTGTCACCCACACTGTGACCCCCATGACACTCCCTGAGGTGGTCATGGCGTGTGGGGGGGGCGTGGTGCAGACCCGTTAGGTCAGCCTGTCTTTTCCCCCCTCTGACCTTTATGTCCTTTTCTCTCGACCTCCAGCGCTGCCCTCGGGCCTCCCTCCCGCCTCTGCAAGGCAGCCTTTCTCCGGGCCTTCCGCCAGGCTGCCCACGCCCTCGGAAAGTCCCACCTCCTGGCCTTGAAGACCTACGAGGAGGCCAAGGTCAGCTGCTTCCCTCCTCCCCGGTCCTCTGTCTCCTGCACCCGCAGCAGGCACCCTGTCTTCACCCCTTCTCATCTCCTGCCCTAGGCTGGGTCCCACCAGGAGGCTCGCCAGCAGCTCTCGCTCCTTCTGGAACAGCAGGGCCTGGGGGCTTGGCCCTCGAAGTCACTGGTGGGCAAATTCAGAAACTGAAACGGACTTCCAGAGGGCTGGCGTCCCTGAGCCGAGCTGGACCCCACTGGAGGGGTGCTGTTTCTGGGGAGCGGGGAGGGATGGTTGGGAGAGACTGGAGGGTGCACACGGTGAAGTCGGAATTGTGGGGAGTGGCTTGTCTGACGTGATGGAGGGGTGGGGGCTGCTGCAGATCTGGGCTTGAATAAAACCGTGGTCCTTCTATGTGTTGGCTGTTTTGGGGGGAGGGGTATCCTCTAGCCCTTTTATTGGTGAAGAGAAAAGCCCCACCATGGCCAGCTCTCAGCTGGATCCCCTCATTCTAGCGCTGCTGCTCATTCCAGGGGAGGCTGAGGCTATGTCATGTTGGGTCCAGGCTGTTGGCAGCAGGGGCGTGGGGACGTGTCCTCGGGTGTGATGGACGCTCCAACCTCCCTCCTTTTCCCAGGGCTCAACCTGGGACTCCCTGCCTCTTGCTGAGCAAGCTCCGTGGGCGTGAGCATCCCATGTTAGAGGATGCCTGGGTGGTGTGGGCGTTGTCCCCAGTCCCCAGTCAGGAGGGGAAGCGGGGCCCTGGGCAGACAGCAGCCCCAGGCCCCGTCCTTACGGGCCTCTGGGTTCCTGCAAGTGGGTAGGGCCTGGAGCCCTGCGGCCACGCTGGGGTGAACAGTGTCTCCCACAATTCACGTTTACCTGAAACCTGTAAAAGCGACCTACTTAGAAATGAGGTTTTGCAGATGGAATCAAGTTAAGATGAGGTCAAGTATCCCAGTATTGGGATACTGGGTGGGCCCCGAATCCAATGACTAGGACCCTTGGAAGGAGAGACACGGACACGCAGGGGGCCATGTGAAGAGGGAGGCAGAGATGGACGTGATGCTGCCGAAAGCCAAGGGACGCCTGGAGTCACAAGAAGCCCGTGGAGGGTCATGGATTGGTTTTGCACAGAGGAGGACACTAACAGGGGAATCGGGTAACTTCCAGGAGAGCAGTCGGGGTGGGGGGCAGCGGGAGGGGAGCTGCAGTTCCCGTGCAGGCGGCTGCTTCCCGGCCCTTCAGTCCCGCTCACTGCCTTGGCTGCTGCTGGGTTGGCTTCTGTGACCTTGGACAAAATTCCCAACCCCTTTTATAAAATGAAAACTGAATGATAGAGTTCCTAAAGCTTCCTCCTGGCTTTGATGCTCTCACCTCTGCTCTTTCCTAACTAAGGGCCACCAGCCACTGGAGATGGGAGATGCAGAGGGTGAGAAAGTAGCTGGGGCGGGGCGGGGGGCGGGGAAGAGGCCTCCGGGTGAGAGGACTGAGACAGAAATGTGCAGGTGCTAAGGCTCGGGAGGAGGGGAAGAGGGTCTCAAAAGTCAGTAATCAACTGATTTTGTGTGGTTTTTTTGTTTGAGAAACAGCAAGTTACTGTTTGGTTGCCGTTTCTTTTTACACAATTTCTAAGGCCAACTTTGAAATGATGATCGTTTATGGTTACTTTTTTCAGGGATGGAGAGGATTTTTAAAATGCCCAAGCTGATTAATTAGCCCATTTATTACACATAATTTTCCCCGGGAGATAATTTAAATTGATTTACTTTTTGTGCTGCAGTGGGGACTACAGCTAAATCTAGAAACATACCAACTACTCAAACTGCAGTTTTATGTAATGAGTCTTTTGATATTCATTAATCACATAATCACTGAGTAAACAAGTTACTCAAAATGACATAAACTCTGCTGCATTATGCCAAGTAGGTACTATTTGTCCCCACGTGGCATAAATCTGCCTGTCCAGTCCTTTCCTCCGGTCAGTCCTCACTGCACAATATTCACTCAGGCTCTTTGACTCAGCTTATTATTGCAGAGTGACAATGAACACTGCCTTTCAAATGGAGAGTCCGTTAATGTCTTCTTGGCCTAATCCCCTCTCGGAGAAGCCTAGCCAACACCGGCGTATTTAAATCAGGAGGGGGTGTAATCTAGCTGGGCACAACTCAGAGGCTGCTTCCTCCGGGAAGCCTGTTAGGTTGTTAGGTTCCCAGCAGCTCTGAGCTCTGGCGGTCTCTCCTGGGCCCTGGGCACCCCTTGCACCCTGCTGCCCCTCCCCTGTGTGCGGTCTTCGTCGTGGAGCAGAACTGTGGACCTAGCTCCCACAGGGGCCCCTTACCACCCAGCCAATGTGAGTTGGTCACAAACGTCCAGCGTTAGGAACCGATGAGCTGGTAGGCTGTTGGCAGTCCTCAGTCAGTGACTGTCATCGGCCATGCCTGCGCTCGGCTGCCAGAGGCCAGCCCGTTGTCTGTGTTCGTTCCCTCCTGCAGGGTCTCCCACACAGGAGATGCCGAAAGACAAGCATTGAATGGGAAATGAATGACTTAAAGGTCTCCTCTTTACAGGAGGGGGTTAGAGGGAGGAAAGAGTAACCCTGTTCTAAAATATGGCTTTAGGAGACATTTTGAAAATTTCCACTTTCTTGTGGTCCCTTTTTTTTCTCTGCCCTGTGGAAGCAATCAGTAAGAACGAGAGAAAACTTAGAGCCTAGAGAAAGAGGGTCTGTTCTGTCGGTTGTCACTCTGCTCCATGATTCAATGGTGAAATGACAGTTTTTAAAAAACATTGGATACATGCTAAGATGCTGTGACAAAGCCAAATGCTCTGGCTTTTATTAAAGTTTATTCTTCACAATAGTTCAGAGGTAATCGGTCCTTAGCTGGCTGTCCACCATCCTCATGTCCAGAGGAGCGGGCCTCCTCTTGAAGGAAGTGACACAGAGTTTCCCCACATCTCTCTGTTCACATGCCCACTGGTCCAGACATAGTAACACATCACACCCAGCCGCAGCAGTGGCTGAGAAATGGGTATCCAGCTATGATTCGGGTGGTCTCTATTACTAAAAAGACATACATGAGAATGATACAGGCAGTGGTTAGTGGTCTTTCCCATATGGAGCTGGGAAGGACCGACAGGCTCTCCCCTTAAGGAAGGACCGGGCGATGCAGGGAGCATCACACGGCAAGAAGGGGAGCACAGGCAGGCTCCACACAGTCTACGTGTCCAGCATCACATCAGGGAGCCCTGCCCTCTGTCCCCTCTTGGTCCCTGACCTCACCCCCTTCTCCACCCCATCAGTTCCCCTACTCCAGAGGCACTATAGCTCATGCTGTCCTTTGAAGAACCAAACACATTCCTGCCTCAGGACCTTTGCCCCTGCTGCTCCTTCTTCCCCAAAGCATTTGTTCCCGAGATCCACGTGCCTTGCTCCGTTCACTCTTCCAGGATTCACTCAAATGTCATGACTTAGAAAGTGTTTCCAGGTCACTCTTTACAAAATTGCCACCCCTCACTCTGGCAATCCCAGGCCCCTACCTTGCTTTGTTCCTTGTCTGCTTTGTTCCCCGATGAACCCCCAGTGCCTGGAACAGTGCCCAGCACTATAAAGACTTGTTGATGAATGAATGAAGAATAAATCTGGAAAAAAAGATCAGCATTCCCTGCTGTCGCTGCAGGAGCCCGGCCGCTCAGCAGGCACTCACTCCGACACTCACTCACTCCGACAGACACTCACTCACTCCGACACCCCAGCCCCTTTCCACAGTCGCCCCCTTGCCCAGCGTCCTCCTCTGACCCCCTGGATTTTCTCGCTGGCTTATCCTAGAGGTCTCCGGGGTGAGCCTGGAGTTGGTTAATTTGATGTGAGCACTTGTGTATGCGTCCGAGAAGCTTGACCGGGAGGCAGGTCCAACCTCCTTGTGGACTAGACTGGGTCTGACATGGTGGCTGGTTCACAGCGGGCACTTGGTAAGATGAGGCACGGAAACCTTCCTGGGAAGGGAGGGGCGCTTGCATTTGCTCTCCACCTACTGTGCGCCAGGCCTGCCACTGAAGGTGGACATGGACGGGGGGCGGAGGCTGGTGATTTTTAGACACATTTATAGGACTAAACAATGGTTCGGGATCATCATGAAAAGGAACTCTTTCATTGGCTGGAGTAGGTATCTGCTGGGAAGACCTCATATGCAGACGTCGACCCTGCTCTCAGGGAGGTGCTAATGGATTTGTGTGCACATTTTCTCCATAGAGATTTGCTTTTGCCGTTTGGGTATGGACTCTTATTTCCAGAGTGGCAGGTCACCAGAGCCAGGCTCCTCATCCCACCAGGGCCAGCGGCCAGGGGCTGTCTGGCCCAAGGACACCTTTGGAAGCTTCCCCAGGAAATGAGCACTTTGTGGGGTGCAGGGTGGAAGGGTAGACCAACTGCTACAGTACGCAATCCCCCAGTTTCAGTAGCTTGCACAGAGAAGTTTTTCTCTTGCTTGTTTAGTCCACTGATGCGGGTGATCAGCACGCAGAGTTCAGAACACAGCTGCTTCCATCTTGTGCCTCCATTGCTCTCAGGGCAGCGTGGAGGCCATAACGGTCTCTATTGCACAGCTCGGCTGTGCCATTGTAGCCCAAAACCTCCTCAGAAAATATCTGAATGAGTGGGCCTGGCTGTGTCTCAGTAAAACTTTACTTACAATAACAGGCATGGGGCTGGATGTAGTTTACTAAACTCTGCCTTAGAACCTAATTTCTTGAATCTGCATGCAACTTGGCAGGGTGGGGGACAGGTGGGAGGGAGCCGGTCGAAGATCAGGCAGGGGGTGTTTGCAACGGACCCTTCGGTGGCTGGAGTCCTTTCAACCACATCCCAATGACCAGAACTTCGGCCCTGCCTCCCCCTACCTGCAGGGAGGCTGGAAGAGGAACCATATGTTGACAAGTGCATTGATTGCAACCTCAGAAACCTGTTCAAATTCAGCATCCCTGTGCCCCCATGTATGGTTACTCCCCTTCCTTCCTAGGACTTATCACAAGCTCTAGTTGTCCTGCTTATTTCCTTCCTGACTTATTTGTGGTGTGCCTTCCTAACTCCCACTTCACCTCCACCCAAGCCCTCATGAGCATCTGTCTTGGCAATTACTGTCTCCACTGAGCTAGAACAATGCTGGGCGCATAGCAGGCACGTAAGAAATACTGCCCCAGAGCCCAACGGCAGCCCCTCCTGACTTCTGACTTGGCAGTGGCCCTGGGGTATGTGACCCCTCACCCCTGCCGGCCCCTCACCGGGGCAGGGGGGGACCCTCCCACCTCCTCCCACATACCAAGGTCAGCCCCAGCAGGCTTTGAGATTGTGCCTGCCCCAGAATACCAGAGAAGCCAGAACATCACCTCTAAATATTGTTTAATGTTTCTCTCAGAGTTGGGGGCGGGGTGGCTGGGTGGAACTGCTGAGTCACTGGCGGAGTACAGCGGAAGCCGAAGGAACAGCAAGGTTGGCTAATTTTAGCTCAGGGCACCCGAATTCATTCCCATTTCCTCGGCTTCCTCCCCCTCACAGCAAAGGTGAGTTATGACAGTCACACGTTCTCCATGTGTCATCTAGAGCAGGCTACGCAGAGGCAGGGCTGGGCTCTGTGCAGCCTCGGCCACAGTCGCGTGGACAACGGAGGATCCACGGGGCCCATGGAGACAGCCAGCGGCGTCCCTTAGCTTCAGTCTCTTCTGAACCGACACTGTGTTCCTGGCGGCGCCCCTTGGTTTGATGTCGAATGCCGGATGAGGCAGGCGCTGGGCAAGGAACAGGAGGCAGAGCTGAGGGCACTGGATGGGCATCCTGGCTCTGCCAACCCTGGCTGTGTAAGTCCCCTCCCCGGGCCTCTGTATCCATGACTGAAAAATGGGCGAGTTGGGTCTGGTGGCCCTAAATGTACCTCTAGCTCTAAGAAGCGATGAGGCAGGACTGTCTAAGCTGGCAGAGTAGGGAGAGGGCAAAGCGGGGGGGAAGTCTGCTCCTGGTGGCAGGTGGAAAGAGGTCAGCTGCTCTGAGTCTCAGGGACTAAGTTCATTTTCGAGGCAGACACTCTCCTCACAGAGGTGGCCAGAGGTGACCGCACACACCCAGCCTTCTGTCATGTTCTACCTGGCCCAGCCAGCACTTGCCAACTCTCCTTCCCTTACACACTCTCCACTCCCCTGCCAGTGTTCCCTGGGGTCGCCACCTAAATAAAGGGCTCATATGTCACTTGAGAGAGCATGGGGTCCCCAGAGGTGATATCCAGAGAGGGATACAACCTCACGAATGCAGCATCTGTCTGGGAATTCACAGCCTCAGTCTAAGAACTAGAACACATGAAACATACACAAAATGAGACAGTTCTATTCAAAAGTGGGGGGCATTTTTTTGCATCCAAAATTTCAATGTCATCTACATTAAAGAAAATCTGGGGAAACGTTCAGATCACAGGAGACTAAAGAGATAGGACAAGTAAATGCAACATCCGGTCCTCTGCTGGACCCTGTCCTGGAGGGGAAAAGGCTAGAAAGGATATTGTTATGTTGGTTGACAAAATTGGAACAGACAATAGATTAAATTAAATTGCATTCAAGTTAAATGTGCTGACATAGATAACTGCATGTGGTTTGACAAGAGAATACCCTCATTCTTAGGATCTGCACGCTGAAGTATTTCAGGTTTTTCTGGGTTCTCCACCTGACAGTGAAGGAGCTGGTTTACTTTAGATCTTCCTATCCTTTGATTTTAAGGGAGAGTCATGGATTCCTTTGAGAATCTGATGATATCTCTGGATGCTTTGCGCTTTGAAATAACGTAACACACACATTCTTTGCGGCGTGTCATCTCCAGAGGTCACACACCGTTGTGGAAACTCTGAGCTGGCTTAGTGGATTGAGTGCCGGCCTGTGAACCGAAAGAGTTACCAGTTCAATTCCCAGTTGGGGCACATGCCTGGGTTGTGGTCCAGGTCCCCAGTGAGGGGTATGCAAGAGGCAGCCACATGTTGATGTTTCTTTCCCTCTTTTTCTCCCTCCTTTCACTTCTGTCTAAAAATAAATAAAATCTTAAAGTTCCAAAAGCAAAGGGCATGATATAGTCAATTTACTCTCATATGGTCCGGAAAACCATACTTGTATATATAGTAAAAAAAAATACAGAGAGAGCAAGTGATAAAGCAAATGGGGCAATGTGTTTAAAAAAGAGGTGTATTCAAATGTTCTAGGTACTATTTTTGCCCTTGCAACATTTTTCATGTGTTGGTTTAACATGTTTTTCCAAATAAGATGTTAACAAATCGCTTGCCTAAATATTATTCAATAAGTGCTGCCCATTATTAGCATTTCTATACGAGGAAGGGGAGGCAGGGAGTTTAATGCTGCTGGACAGGGGCAGGCAGCTGGGCGTGAACAGCCCTGTAGCCAGGTGGGGTGGGTAGGAACATGGCAGGCAGCTGGTGGACAGAGACCTCAGTGAACTCCTATTCAAACTCAAACTGCTTGCTGATTTTTGCTAAGGGAGCAATTCTACAGATAGTCAGGGACCATGGTCTGTTTTTCTTTCTCACCTGTCTCCTTGTTTTTTACCTGCCCCTCCGTGGTATAAATTGTTGCAGTGAACTCTGCTTCCCAGAATCAGAGACTGTCCATGCTGAGAAGGACTTTAACCACCATCTCATCTACCATTTCCATGGGATCAATGGGAAAAGGAAGGCCCAGTGAAACCAAGCTCCAGGTCCACTGTTATACAGCGGAGGAAGGGTGAGAGGGGGTACGTGAAATATCCCAAGACAACCCCATTTACTCTGCTCAGGATAGCATGACAGAGTGTTGTTATAATCTTGTCATAAGTATTTTCTTTGAGGGTTTGGGCACTGTTTCAGGTGAGCCTGAGAGCTGCAGCGTCATATGTGCATCACAAAGACAGTGCTACTGGGAACCTGGGTACTTGGCTTGAACTAAATGAACTGGCTCTGTGGCCTCAGGCAGGTCTTTCCCTCTCTGAGCCTAGGTCTCTCCATCTTAAAGTGCAGGAGTTGATTTACTTAAGAAATTTTTATCCTTTTTGCGGGGTCATGCATTCCTCCGAGGATCTGATGAAATCACTGAACCCCTTTTCAAAGCTGTGCACTTTGACATGCATAGTCTTTAGAGGCTCACAGATCCTCTCATGGAAAGTCTGCTTAGACTGTGTTCTGATGGGCTTTCCAGTTACCAATTTATCAAGTCCTAAAAACCATCAAAATAGAGTCAGTTGGTGGAGCCCCATTTACATTGCATTGAAGAATTGACCCATCCATCCCCAAGTCACTTTTTAGGCTCAACTCTGGCTAGGGAGATGTTGAAACAATATTTTAAAGTTACCCCTTGGAGCTATATCTACAATACAACATGAAAATGGCTTGAAGTAAAGGCCATTTGCTCTTTGCCTATAGCTGGAAAATTTCTCCCTTTGGCTGTGGTCACACCCATTGGCCTCAGATAAAACAAGCCCTCTGGGAATCACAAGACTCCTTCCAGCCAATAGGGATCAAGAGACTGCCTAGCAACTCTCAAGTCTCCCTTATGCCATCCAATCAGCAGGATGGAAAATCTGCTCAGAGGCTTGACTAGTCCCCCAGAACATTACTGGGGATTAAAAATAGACCATTTAATTAAGCTCCACATGTGAGTAATTGATTCCAATTTTCCTCTTGTAATTTCATAAAGAATTTCCACTGGGTGTGTACTAAGAAACTATAGAACCTCATAATGTTACTGTTTGGCTTACCGAGTTTTCTTTCAGGCCTTGCACATTTTTGTTAAGGTGCCTGATTTGAGGCACAAAGGAAAACGGAGATGCCGGGATGGAAGCCAGTTCCAGCAACAAGCTGAGCTGGAGTGAGAAGTGGCCGAGTCACTCACGGCAGGTGCCACTGAGACCTCTCCCCGGTGTGCTTTGCTGGGGAACGACAGACAAGATGCCAGAACTTGGCATCACCATGTACAATTAATAACTCGCGGGAGGTGGGCCCTCGTGTCTCACCTGAATTGCTCATTCTCTGTTGCACGCTGGTTTTCCCATACCCCATCCGATCATCACCATCCACCCCTGCAGCCCATCCACATCACTTCTTTCTCTAACGTCCCGTTCCCATTTACCAAATCTTCCAAATCCTCTGCACAGCACTCACAGCCCACCACCTTCTCACCCCAACCCATTTTTCCAACTTCTAAACTTCCCCTCACCCCACCCTTCCGTGTCTCTGTGAAGAGCCTCTGTGAGCCGAGCGCTCGGGACAGACTGCTCTTTCCTCTCTGGGCTCAATGTGCACTGCTTTGATCTCGGATGACTTGGTCCTACATCTGTCTCCTACTCTAGAGGCAAAGGGCCAAACTGTGTTAGCGAATGAATGGGTAAATAAATAGATATATTTAAATATAAGCTGAGGATGTCTACCCTCTGGCATCAAAGGCTTGATCCAGGGGGACAGCGAGGGCAGCTCCTAAGGCTGCACTTCCTTCCGCATTGAAGCTACGCTGCACCTGTCCGTGGTGGCTTCATGGAGGGTGGGAAGCGTAGGTCCCTGCAGCACTGGAAGAGACAGCAGCAGGAAAATCCTCTCAAGGAGCCCCACACAGCCCCACAAGAGTTAGCCTCTGTCAAGGCCAAGGACTGGGTAATTGGAAATGTCCCACCAGGAGTCCAGTTGGCCAAGGCGGTCCCGCTGTGGCTGGCAAATGGCACTCCTGCCCAGGTCCCAGGCGACTCAGGAAGGATGGCAGACTTGCAGCCACTGCGCAATTTGATGCAAAGAGGCCAATGATGCCTTCTCAGTAAGACCTTCCAGAGCTGGCGGAGGGCGGCTATGTTAGGAAAACCACTGGTGGTGGTGAGCAGGAGGAGGAGGTACTGATTCCTGCCGGAACCCATGATAGGGCTGGGTGGGGAGATCTGAGCAGATAGGTTTGCGGTGACTGGACCATCCAGCTCCTGGTGCTGGGGCGGCCCAGGAAAGAGGGTCTTTGGGTAGGAATGGAATTCTGAAGGCTCAGTTCCGCAGGAGTATAGAATCCAGCTTGGGATGTTGAAAACCCTTCTGGGAAGGAAATGAGAATGGAGACTGACCTAATCCAGCAAAAGCTCAGGGACGGGCAGGGAGACAAGACAAGACAAGCGACATAGATAAGGCCAGCCTGGACTGTGGTGGCCGCGAGGGTCAGGAATCCCTACCACCCCATTTTTGGCCTTGAGCCCCTCTTAGCTTCAGGAGCTGCCCCCGAGCTCTAGAAATGCACCACCGTAGGGTCTACGCCTGCCGTTCTCGCGCTCACGTCAGCTGAGAGCGGTGGACTGGAGAGTCCCGGAGTGCTCATGGGGGGTTTTGAATTAAATGTATTTGACAGGGGAGTCGGGTCCCTCCAGGATCAGGTCATCCACGTCACTCAGGAGTTCGTGTTCACTGGCTGTGCTGGCTTTTTGCAGGCTGTGGAGGCGGGCCTGGAGCTGTTCTTGCTCCCTCTTGAGCTCCAGGTAGGAGTGTGAGAAGGTGTGGAAGATGGACGTGGCTGGGAAGGCCATGATGAGGATCCCACTCAGGATGCTGCTGAGGGCCACCACCTGGCCTGGCACGCTGCGCGGGACCATGTCCCCATAGCCCACCGTCGTCATGGAGATGATGGCCCACCAGTAGGAGGCCGGGATGCTGGTGAACTCCAGGACCCGCCCGGACTCCTTCTCGGCCACGTAGACCAGAGGGGAGAAGAGGGTGATGGCCACACCCAGGAAAAGGAGAAGCAGGCCGAACTCACGCGTGCAGCGGCGCACGGTGAGGCCCAGCGTCTGCAGCCCCAGCGAGTGGCGGGCCAGGCGCATCACATAAAGGATGCGCAGTGCCCGCAGCACACGCAGAACCAACCCCACCTTCTCCAGGTAGGAGCTCCCGCCCGGCCTGTCATTCTCCTCCTGGGGCTCCTCAGACACCGCCAGGGACACATAATAGGGGAAGATGGCCAGGATGTCGATGATGTTCAGAGGCCCTTGGAAGAACTGGCACTTGTTCCGGGCCTGGACAAACCGCAGGCAGAACTCCAGGGAAAACCATGCCACGCAGACGGTCTCCACAATGAAAATGTAGTAGCACTTCTGAGAGCACTCACCCTGGAGAAGCAACAAAACACAGGGAAGAGTGGGTGGGCAAAAGCACTGGAAATGGGGGGAGATAACCATGCCAAAAAGTGATTCCATGTATCTCTATCGATATTGATATCAATAGACATATATGGAATATGTGGAATATCAATGTTGAATATTGATATTGATTCCATTTATACATATTAAATACAGTCTCTATATATTCTATATGTACTATATACTCTCTCTTTATTCTATATATTATCTATCTCAATTGAGCTGTGCTATAGACTTAGTTGTCCACCAAACCCCCTCCCCTTAAAAAGGTTTATTTATTTATTTTAGAGAAAGCAGAAGGAAAAAAGAAATATTGATGTGAAAAAGAAACATCAACTGGTTGCCTCCCACATGCACCCCAAAAAGGGATCGGACCTACAACCTAGGCATAAGCCCTGACTGGGAATCGAACCAGCAACCTGAGGTTCATGGAACAACTTTCCAACCAACTGAGCCATGTGACCAGGGCCCCCTTTATACGTAGTTATCAAGTTGTGCTTGGGCACAAGGCTGGTCAGCTACACCAGAAACCATCTTTCCAGTCTCCCTTACAGCTAAGTGTGGCCAAATAACCAAGTCCTCACCTGTGGAATGTCAACATATATGATGCATGCCACCTCTAGTTCCAGAACTTACAATATTGGTGTGAATTCCTGCACACTCTTTCTCCCCATGAGCCAGGACAACCCATTTGGCTCTGCAACCCAACTTAGAACCAGCAGATTGAACCAACACCCCAGGGGCAGATGGAGTATCAGGGTAGGGGAAAAAAAAATCTGGGTCTCAGAATGAGAGCTGCTCACTCACCTTGATTCCCATTTATGGAGAAATCAGTTTCTATTTTGTTTAAAGCCATTCTATCTTGGGACCTCTTTGTTATAGCAGCAAACCTTCACTGTTCCCGGTAGATGCCCCTCTTGTGTACCAGGCACTGCTCTAGTGCTGTGACTTATGCCCCACAGTGATGCCAAGAGCGTGCGGCACAACCTCACTTTATGACCCCAGACACAGTCTGAGCAGTGAAATGACTTGCCTGACCTCACATACGTAGTAGATGGTCTCTCAGCCACTAAACTCTTTTTCGTAACTTCTTTGCCTGACATCCCTTGTTTATTGATCCAAGAAAAATATGTAAAGGATTCACCCTGTACCAGGGCCTGAGTGAGGCTCTGGGTGGGGCAAAGTACTAGAGAAGCAGACGTTTCTGGGGGTTGGCAGACTAGTGGGGCAGAGAGGGCTCTCACTTCCCTAGAAAGGCCCTGGGGCATGGATTGCAACTCTGTGCACAATTGTCTGGTGGGGCTGTTGTGGATTCATTGTCCTGCCATTCCCACTCCCTGCCTCTGACTTCTAACAGAGTCGCGCCTGCCCCTCAGCTACTCAAAGCATGGTCCTCAAACCAGAAGCATCTACCTCCCCAAGGAGCTTGTTAGAAACACAGAATCTTGGGCCCTACCCTATCCCTGAAGAATCAGAATCTGCATTTTAACAAGGCCCCCATGTGTTTTTTTTATGCATGTTAAAGGTTGAGAGGCTCAGGTCCCCTGCAGTGGTTCCCAGCCTTGGCTGCACAACGGAATCACCTGGGGACCTTTGGAAAAAAATCCCAGTGTCTGGGCTGGGACTTCAGAGATTCTGTTTAATTGATCTAGGTTTGAGCTTGAGCAGTAGAATTTTCCAGAAACCTCATAGATGATTCTAATGTGAAGCCAGAGTTGAGAACCTTTATATATATGAACCTGAGGAAATTCTCCAACTCACTGGGAGGTCTTTGCCACGCCTGCACCAGTTTGCTTCAGGATCCTGGAGGGCTCAGGAGTTTAGGATCCTGATTCACCAATCCTGCTACAAATTTGCTGTGTGATGAAGCAGTATATATTTATTTATTTATTTATTTATTTATTTATTTATTTATTTATATGATGGATGAGTAAACGAATGACCAAAGCCAGTTGCCTTGGTGAAAAGCAGAATGTTGACAACTGCAATTTTCTTTGTATTAAAAGGCTCTGCAGTGGAAAAAGAAATTATTTCCAGTGCCTGAGCCCCTAGGAATACTAAATTGAAACGTCCTTTATGTCTGGCCACTGGAGGAAGAGAAGCAGACTGGTCTGTTCCACTGTCTGCCCGTTCAGGGCTGGGCAGCTTTCTCCCTTGACCTGTATCTGGTCCGCTGAAGGGGTGGGAGGCGGTGGGAGTGCTGCTGATGGTGTGGAGTCTGCGACCCAGATTCAAATCCCACACCTCCGCTTACTCAGGCATGTCACTCAGCCCCTCTGGACTTCCGGTTCTCTGCCCTGAAGGTTGCTGTAGTGAGTGGAGGCATGAGAGAAGCAGGAAGCTCCTGAAGGCACATTATACCTCAGAGTATCTTTATGAGATACTAGGAGACTGGTCACCTAGAGTAGCCTGACGGGTTAGTTTAAGGGTAACAATATCCTCCTATTGCTGATTTCTGCAGGAACCTGAGGAAGTTCTCCAACTCACTGGGAGGTCTTTGCCACGCCTGCACCGATCTGCTTCAGGATCCTGGAGGGCTCAGGAGTTTAGGATCCTGATTCACCAATCCTGCTACAAATTTGCTGTGTGACGAAGCAGAAGGCACTGCCCCTCTCTGTTCTCCAGTTTCCAATGAAGAAACTGGAGCAGAAATAGTGTTTTTCAAAGCTGAATTAGAACCCTCTGCATCAGAATCTCCCAGGGTGTTTGTTACAAATGCAGGTTCTTGGGCATCTGGAAGTTTTTCAGACTCCAGGCTAGATTCTCTTTACAAGGCCTCTTCATCATTGACATTCTGGGAGCTTGTCCCCTGATTTAAGAGCCTGTGGTTGCTGGGAATCACTGTTACAGGCCCATGACCCGAGAGCTCAGCAAAGTGACTCCTGAGAGCTCTGTAGGTCCCCCTACTGCCTCTGGTGCTGGTGTTTGGATATTCAAGGCATGCGCCAGCCCACTCCTTCCTGCGGCCTGGCCTGGCTGTCCTGGCCACCTCCTCACACTGCAGCAAGCGCCCTCTCTGCCGACTCACCCCCTGCACGGCCACCCTGCTCTGCATCCTTAAACCGACTTCCAGCCCTGATCCCCAGAGGAACGCCCCGTTAGCCGCCGGCCTTGGGGCAGCGGGGATTTATGGGGCTCCAGCTAAGAAAATAATTCCCAAACCAGCCCATATCTGAAGAAAAATAGACAGGGAGGAAAGAAATGTTACTTTTTTCTCTTTGAGGAAGTTTCCAGTTGCATTTTGTAAGTGGGGTGACCAACCCCTCCGGGTTTGCCCAGAACTTTCCGGATTTGAGCCTGGAAAAATCACCCAGATCACCAGAACCCCCCTCGGTCCTGGGCAAACCAGGATGGCTGGTCACCCTGTTAGTGGCCCTTGTCATCAGGCAGATTGAGGTGTGCCCTGTCTCCCCCAGGCAGTGAAGAGGAACGTGAGTCAGCCTGAGGAGTCCGGAGGCGTGAGCAATGCAGCCACATGGACAGACAAGACGTGGGGCAAGATGAGCCATATGGACATCTCCATTTATGTCAAGTTCAAGAACAGGCAAAACAGGATGATGTTGTCCAATCATCTAGAGTGGACAACATCATCCAAACAGTATCTGCCTCTGGGTGGGTAGGGATTGACTATGAAGGGACATGAGAGAATTTTCTGGGCTGATGGGGCTATCCAGTTGTTATACTGAACAGCTAAATACAGTGTGCATTTCAATGCTTATAAATTTTACTTACAAAACTGTAAAATAAAATTACAATGAATGATAATGAGCAACTGCAGTAGGGAGCGGGTGGAGAAAGAACAAGAATGGCAGATGTGGACAATTGCAGAAGCTGAGTCATGGGTACTTGGGGTGCATTATGTTATTCTGTTTACTGTAAATGCCTGAAATTTTCCATAATGTAGAGTTAAAAAAAAAAAAAACCCAAAACTGGGTCAGGTCCTGGCTGGTGTGGCTCAGTGGATTGAGTCCCAGCTTGTGAACCAAAGGGTCGCCAGTTCAATTCCCAGTCAGGGCACATGCCTGGGTTGCAGGCCACGTCCCCAGTAGGGGGGCATGCGAGAGGCAACCACGCATTGATGCCTCTCTCCCTCTCTTTCTCTTTCTTTTCTCTTCTCTCTAAACATAAAAAAATTTAGAAAAATAAATAAAAAATTTAAAAAACTGGGTCAGAAATCAAAACCACAGTGTGAGACTACTCCACACTCACTAGGATGGCTATAATTCTAAAGACAAAATAGCAAGTGTTGGTGAGGATGTGGAGAAATTAGAACCCCCACACATTGCTGGTGGGAATGGGAAAGGTACAGCTGTTGTGGAAAACAGGTTGGTCGTTCCTCAAAGTTAAACATACATTTGTTATCTGACCCAATAACTCCACTCCTGGGTATATACTTGAAGGAACTGAAAACAGGCATCCACACCAAAACTTGTATATGAACATCCGTAGCAGCATTATTCATAATAGACCAAATGTGGAAACAACCTAAAGGCCCATCAACTGAAGAATGAATAAAAAAACTTTGGTGTATTCTTAAAATGGAATATTATCCAGTCATAAAAAAGGATGAAGTATTAAAAAAGAAAAGGGATCAAGTACTGATTACGCTTCAATATGGATGAACCTTGAAACCCTCATGCTCAGTGAAAGAAGCCAGACACAAAAGGCCAGATATTGATTGTATGATTCCATTTATATGAAATATCCAGAAAAGGCAAATCCATGGAGACAAAAAGTACGTTTGTGGTTGACTGGGTCTGGAGTTTTGGGGGAGTAGCTAATAGTGTGTGCAGGGTTTTGTTGGGGTGGGGGTGGTGATAAAAATGTTCTGAAATAATTGCTAGATAGTGGTGGTGTTTGTACAGCTGTATATACTGAAACCCACTGATCTATGCACTTCAGAAGGATGAACATTATAGGGTGTGAGCTGTATCTTAATAAGAAAGAAGCCAGGGTATGAGTTTGAAAGGTCAGTCCTGGGTGAGGAGGCAGTAAGGGGGTCCTGCAACCTTGCCCCCACTTCTTCCCCAAAGTTCCAGAGCAGAGCTGCTCTGAAGGGCTCTGGGGTCACAGAGCAAGCAGGACCTTCTGAGGGCAAAGCCACTGTCCCTGGAGGTCCATCTGGACCGGCTGCCTAGCAGACTGCTGCAGGTTCAGTGAGGGCTGGTCCTAGAAGTTCCATCTGGGAGGGACTCAGGGCCGAATTCTTGACCTTGAAGCTTCCCAGTGCCCTGCCGTCTCTCACAGCGGTGCCTGCCAGCTCCCCCTTTGGGACTATGGCCAAATTCAGCCACTTCACACCTCCCATTAGCTTGGTGCTGGTCCCAGAGCTCCATTCAGCAGCTCAGGCCTCCCTCCCTCCCTCCTGCCTGCCTGTGATTTCCCCCATTTGTGCCTCTGGCCCTGTCCTTGGGTCTGGGCTGATTATTCTGACACTTTTCCAGGCTTGGCTGTGCTGATTCATTCCTCTTCCTGGCTTTTCCCTTCCTCTCTGCCATCTCTTGCTTCCTTTATGACCCTTCCAGAACTCTCTCCTGACTCCCCCCTTGCCTTGAGCGGAAGCCTTCCCTCTCCAGGCCTTCCCCTTCCCCTGCCCTCCCTCCTGCCAACCACCCCAACTCCCCGACCCTGCAACGAGGGACTCTGAGAGTGCGCGGAGCCAAGCAGATGGGGACCCGGAGATGGGGAGCAGGACTGGCCTAGAGGAAGAGCGTGACCTAGAGGCTCAGGAAAGGTGGGCCCCTTCCAGGAAACGGGGAGAGCTTCTTGTTGGCCGAAACATAGGGACACTCAGCTGGGGAGAAAAACCCCAAAACAAAAAACCAGGTTAAGAAGAATTCCCTAGAGCAATGACCAATATCACCCAACACAGAGAAGCTACAGAAAGCAGGCGATTCTCCAGGCAGCTGATCTGTGATCCAGGAAAGGGACAGAGTGGGAGGAGGAGCCGGCTCCAGCACGAGGCTTTTGATCAAAGGCGGGAGGGAGAAGCTGCAGCCCAAAAGTTGAGCTGCACCCCCATGAGAAGGGCATTGGTCATATTCCCAAGGGGAAGCTGCCAGGCACTGCTCTGAGAGATAGAAGGGCGTGGGGAAAGCTCCAAGGTCAAGAATTCGGCCCTGAGTTGCTCCCTGACAGAACTTCTATAACCAGCCCTCGCTGAACTCTACCAGCTCCCCCCGGGACTGTGGTCCCATTCATCCACTTCTCACCTCCAGTGGGCCCCCTGCTGGTCCCACAGCTCCATCTGGTGGTTCAGGCCTGCGTCCCTCCCTCCCTCTCTCCCTTCCTCCATCTTGCCTGTGATTTCCCCCGTTTTTGCCTCTGGGCAACCTGCTACAGGTTCAAGGGGTCCCCAGTAGTTCCACTTGGTCTTTTAAAAATCTCTCTGTGCCCTTTTTCCCAGCCCTGCAACTTAGCAAAATGCCTAAACCACAGTACAGAATGTGAGGGACAGTGAGAAGCAGGGCCCCCGCTGTCCCACCCAGAGCCCCGCTCCGCCCCGTGGCTCTGTGACCGCCCGGGGCACTGTGCACAGCTGCAACCTGGTGCGTGCATCGGGCAAACCTCTGGGACAGAAGTAGAATCTAAAGTGGGAAGAGAAATAAGTGAACGCTGCCAGGCAGATAGAGCAGGTTTGTGCCTGTACTTGGCCCCACTGAGTCCCCAGCACAGAGTAGGTCCTCAGGGAAGATCTATTGATTTCATGAAAGATGGTGACAGGCACTGGAAACAGAGAGGACAACTGAGTCAACTGGCCTCTGACTTTGCTGCTGCCATTTGGGTTCTATGGAGCGGAGAGAGAAGGTGATGAGCAAAGGAGATGAGCAGGTGGGAGGGGTGTGAGCTGAGTCCTAAAGGGTGGGTGAAAACAGCGAGCTTCCCTCTGTGCCGGCACATGAGAAATTAGGTTATTTAATCTTACCGTTACCCTCTGAGTAGGTGTTGTCATTATCCACTGTGATAGGCGAGAAAACAGGAGCACAGAGAAATAGAGAGACTCACCTAAAGGCCGAGCCAGGTAGGGCCAGAGCTGGGATTTGAACCCAGGACTAGCAAAATAAAGATTCTGGCTCCTTTCCAGGATGAGATACTGTCTGTCTGCGGCTATTGGGATATCCCAGTAACAGTAAAGGGGAAGGAAGAGGTCAAGAGAGGAGGAATGAGTGTTCAGCTGCGGCTGGCAGTGACCTTCAGCCACCCCCAGAGGGAGGGAAAGTGCTCTGACGAGTAGAAGTGCCCGGCAAGGGCTGAAGCCGTGTGGAAGGGCACTAGAAATGCATGACAGAGCTGACAGTCTTTGCAGAGGCCTTGGGCAGAGGGGAGCAGAGAATGTGGGAGATTGCAGCCTTCATTACCAAATGGATGGATAAACAAACTGTGGCGGAGCAGACAGTGGAGTACTATTCAGCCACAAAAAGGAGTGAGTACTGACACACGCTATAATGTGGATGAACCTCGAAAACATTATGCTGAGTGAATAAAGCCAGAGCAGCCGGCCAGCATGGCCAGCATCCACAGCCCATTCGCTGAATTGCTGCTTTCAGCCGATATCCCTGGGGGCAAATATGGAAGACCAGGAGCTTGCGGTGGGGAAGGAACACCATCTTTTTATGTAAATGTAAGGACATGGTCTTGAAAGAACAAAGACAGCCCTGTCCTCAGTCTCCTGGCTCTCTAAGTTATTATTATTGAAGCAGAAATAGACACACATACTTTGAGGCCTGTATCTCCCAGCCTCCCCAGACAGCACGAGGAAAGGCGATTTCCCAAGGTGACATCCCTCTTATCCCAGGAGCAGGGATGACAGCCTGATTGCTCCGCTCAGACTCGGGGCTGCCTGGCTCTGCGGCCTCCTGTCCACCTCTGATTTGACTTTCCGAGTTCCCATTAAACCAAGCTTGGGTTCATACCCTGGTTCATACCCTTTGGGTTCATACTCGAAGCAGCAGGCTTTGAAAAGTCCTTGTCCCTCTGCCCAGTCTAAATCCTGGCTCCCTGGAAATCCCTAACAGGAACAGGCTGGTGGAAATCCAGGGGTCCTTCCTCAGTTGCTGGGACCAAGGACACCCTCTGAGATTGGGGGCCAAAAGCCATTTATTTTGTCCCAATCTTTTTACTTCAGTGCCCACGTGTAAATATTTCTGTGAACGAGCAGGATCTTAAATCACATGCTATCGTGCTGAAGAATGAAAACAATGCCTACAATTGGGGCTATAGTCCTCTATGGGGAGAAAAAGCTGTTTGAAAGTCTAACATTTTGGTTGGTTTGCTTTAGGACTAAACATTTATAAGCTGGGTGAGATACATCTTACCCAACAAATAATTGTTGAGAGCCTACTCTGTGTGAGCAACTGGCTGGTTCTCCATTTAAGTGCTTTCTATCTGGAAAGTTCTCTGATCCTGCCATATTGCCCTGGAATACATCTTTAAGTGAAGGGAATTTACATTGACTGACAATGGCTATGGGTCACATACAAGGTGCACTGTCTTATGTATGTGTTTCATTTTGGGCTCCTTCCATGTACCCATGAGTTAGGGTGATGGGGAGCCATGGAGGAGTTGTAGAACTGGGCAGGAGCAACATTTTAAATTAGTTTGAAGTTCTAAAATAACCTTCCCAACAAAATTTTAGGTTCTTATCTCATTTCTCAGCTCATCTGACTCCCTGGTGGGGAACAGGGGTAGGATCTCCATAGCTCCTGGAAAGAGAGTAGAGGAGTAGGCAAGACAATTTTTTGCTCTGGCCTTCTGGGGCAGCGTCACTTAGAAGTTAACTTATGCCTCAGTTCCCTACCCAGAGAAGCTTGGGAGCGAAGCAAGAAGAGGAAAACCGAGGACAGAGTCTCTCCGCCACGTCGGCACATTTACTCTATAGCTGTCAGAAAGCTAAATGCCCTGGGCCTCAGTTTCTTCATCTGAAAACGGAGTTGGGATGCCCGCTGAGTGATGGCTTGAGAAGGCAGGGGAGTCTGGCCTGGCATAGTGCATGGCGCAGAATATTGCTCAATAAACCCCATAATGAGCGTGCCTTGAATGTGTAGAACTCTACTCATTTTATGGAGAAGGAAAGTGAGGCTCAGAGAAATGAAGCAAATTGCCAGTGGTCACAGAGCCAGGAGCCGTGAGGTTGGACTTGCCGGGCCTGCTAAGAACAGGGGTGGCTTTGTCAATGTCCAGGGTTCACTATCAGAGGCAGGGCCACCTCGTGACTTTTGTGGGGCCCAAGGTACTTTGGCCTTTGTGGGCTTCTTCCCCACAAAAGGATATTTAAAATTCTCTTTTATGATTGCGTTGGTCTAAAAATAAATATAATCCATGCTGGATAATATTCATTTTTTTCTTCCTTCTTTTCAAAGACATTACAGTGTTTTCATGAGCCCTAAGTCTTATGGGCCCTGGGCACAGTGCCCGATGGAGAAATGAACACTGGTCAGAAGCCACTTACCTTGTCCTCCTCGGCCCTCAGGTCGGGCATGGTGCTGACACACAGGCTGACCGCTGTGGTAGCCACGAAGAGGATGGACAGACAAGCAAAGACCTTCCCGGGCAGTCCCGACTGCGGGTTTTCCACCATCTCCCGCAGCCAGTTCATGAAGAGCCCCCAGCGCGAGGTGTCCGTGGCAGGGCCGCACGCCTCCCTCCGCCGCTGCAGGGCCTCCTCCCTGCGCAGCTCGGCCAGCTCCTCCAGCGTCTTCAGCAGTTTCCGCAGGCAGCATTTCTCCAGGTTGGCTTCCTCGATCCCCCAGTAGGCCAGCTCCTCCTGGAAGGACAGCACGCACATCTCCCGCAGGAGGGCCAGCTTGCCGGCTGCCAGGAAGCTCACGATCATCCCGAAAGCGCTGGGGCTCCTGTCGAAGAAGAACTCCTGGTTATCCTCATCGTAATCGTCGCAGAGCTGCGCGATCTCCTCCTGGTTCCGGCAGAACTTGAGCTTGCTCAGGCGGCTCAGGGGAAACTCGTCCAGCGTGCTCCAGGGAAGAACGTACCTCCTGCCCCCGACGTTCACCAGGATCTCCTTCTTCAGGTCTGCCGTCGGGGAGGCGTCCAGCGCGCCCACCTTCCGCGCCCGGCGGTAGTAATGACCCTTGATGGGCGGCGGCTCCACGGAGCCGGGCAAGAGCTGACTCAAAGGGCTGCAGGAGCCGGAGTGATGATGCCTGGGATGCAGGCCCCTGACTCTGGTGGCTATGGGCATTGCCGTAGATGTCCTGGCACCCACGGGGAAAAGAGCAAGAAAGCGGGAGAATTCAGTCTCAGGGCAGAGTCCTACATGTCCCAGATGTTTTCCCAGGCTTGCTTTCCTGCCACTGTATCTGCATTATTCGTTGTTTTTTTTTTTTGTTTTTTTTTTTAACATTTCCTCTAACACAGATTTATTGGGCACCTACCACACACCTGGGATCTATCAATGAACAAAAGGAGACAATGCCATCCCTTCCCGGCGAAGCGCACACTTATTTCAGCAGAACTCCCTGCAGTACACATTATGCGGACTGGGACTTAGGGAACTCAGTCCTGAGCTGGATGAGTCAGAACTGTGCCACTTTCAGGCTGTGTGGCCTGGGGCATGTACCTTAACCTCTCTGATCTCAGCATCATTCCTTCCATGACAAAACTTGCACCAACCTTGCAAGGTACAGTTGGTAAAAACAGAGCTTAAGTGTGTAAGAGGTTCTCAAGTTCACTGCCAGGTTCTGACACTTTATGGGCTGCCAGCACAGGTGGATTACCCGGCCACTCTAAACCCTCTGCTTCATCTATCCAGCTGGGGTAGTTTGAGTAGCATGGGGCACAATGAGGGTTACATGCAGTAATTAATACACATGAAGTGTATATTAAGAACACTTCTAGATGCTCCTGACAAGCCAGGCACCTCGTAACTCATCTCAACAACCCCATGAGATAGACATTAATGTTTCCATTTTACAAATGAGGAAACAGAGGCCCAGAAAGGTTAAGTGAGGAGAAATGTGACCATGCTTAGCATGGCATCTGACGCTCAGGAGAAGTTCCACAATGGTCACCTTGTCCCCCTTGTTTGCTTTCTCATTTGGAGGATTTTACTCTCCACGACAGCGTTCCTCCCTGTTCATTGGGTGCTTGTCTCAGTCACCCTTGCTATGTGACCTTGAGCCAGTCACTCCCCATCTCTGGGCCTCGGTCTTGTCATTTGCAAAATGGGAGGGACTCTAATGCTTTCTCCATTTCAGACTTATTTGGGGCTCCTGATTTAGAATAGCATTTTAGATTTTGCCCATGCCCTTTGGAAAATCACCTCTATAACCGTGCTCATCCTCAGCCTCCTGCAACCATTTTCTATGCTATTCATTGGAGCCAGAGCTGTTTCCAGAGCATCTATAACCTTACATTCCAAGAGGCGCTCCAATCAAGAGAAACACTCAGCTGCTGAATGGAAACAAAAGTTCCTCTCCATTTCAGAGCCAGTTGGATTCCGGCAGACAGCGAAGAGTTGAATCACAGCCTATGCATTTCACACTTGCTCCCCATGCAACGGTAGGCTATTCTGCATGCATTACTTCGTTTACAATGTATGGTCAGGGGAAGATGAGCAGCCTGTAGAGAGAAGAGTATTCTGAAATTCAGGGAGCCCTTCCCGCGTGTTTTTTCTTCCTGATCCCAAAACACAAGACCCAGAGAGCTGAAGTGACTCATCCAAGGTCACACAACAAATCCAAACCCAGCACAGGACTCTATCTCCCAGACTGGGGCTCTTCTTAGAACCCCCAAAACTGTACTTTCTGCAGTCACTGAAGAACCCCAATTTTGCAATCCACGCCCCGCCGCCCTGCCCAAAACAGCTGGCACACAAAGCTCTTTGCAGGGCACGGGAAAGGTAGTCACTTAAAACAGCACGTTGGCCAAGGATGTGTCAATGTCCTGCCAACGCCCACCCCTGCAGCAAACACTAACTTCTTCCCCAAAGTTTAACTCACCCTCCTGTCTCTGGGAGCCTGTTTCCAGCTGTGACTCTGCCAGGCAGGAGGAACCCATGTCTCGAAGTCCCAGGAAGAGATGGGCTTGTGGTAGAAATGAAGCGAAATTTTAAATATCTCAAACAGCAGTTTCTGGCATAGTTAGTTTCCAACCTTTCTTCCCTTGTCTCCTCCAGAAACCCGAAATTCATTCATTCTGCATCTCTCTCTCCAGCAGCTGCAGAACAGCCCTGGGGGAGTGGGGTGGGGATTTTAAGAGGACCCGGAAGCCCCTTTCCCCATGAGAGGCAAGAGTCTGAGGGGTCCGTGCTAGGAGGGAGCGGGGCCAGCTGTCCTGCTTCAGTTCCGGGCTCTGCACTCCGTGTCCCTCGTGTCCCTCGGGGACAGCCAGTGTGGTCCTGCAAGGGGCGGGGTGGGGGAGGTGGGGAGGAAGGGGTTGGAGAATGGGAAGGGCTTAGGAGTAATCTCTCAATCAGCCAGGCAGCAAGCCGGAGCAGCGGCAGCCGCTGCTCTGCCAACCGCCTTAGGAGCAAGGAGAGCTGTCCTCCCCTCCCTTCCAAGGAGGAGCATAACTCGGAAGAAACAGGGGATAACTTGGGGCCAGGGCACCAGCAGCTACCTGCCCCTGGAACCCTGGAGGCTCCGTGGGGTATGCTGGTGCTGGGCAGGTGTTCAGCTAGCACCTGCAGGAGGAACTTTTTGCTGCTTTGAACCAGCCCAGGTCTGGGACAGGTTCAGAGAAGCCCAGCCTCCCACCACAGGGTGGGAGTTCTGGGGGCTGCATGATGGACCAGGAAGAGGTGTGAGCCTGGGATCACATGCCCCTGGATCCCTGGCTCCAATGTGAACAGCTGGGTGACCTTGAGTGGGTGACTTAGTACCTCTGAGCCTCATTTTTCTTGTTTGTAAAAAATATGAGAATGGGGGGAGGGGTCACAGCAGAAGCCACAGAGCAAGCCCCTTCTGTGGCTTTGGCTGGTGTGGTCACAGTGAGGAGGCAGAGGCATAGTTTCCAGGGCCTGTGTCCTGGCCTCGGCTCTGCACTGCCCTGCTCTGTGTCCTTGGTCAGTCACCTCATCTCTCTGGGCCTCAGTTTTCTCACTGGTCAAGTGAGGACAGTCAAAGAAGTGCTGACAGAAATTGCAAAATCGTCTTCTCATGTAGGTGCTCAATGTGCATTGGTCCTCTTAATTTTCTTAAGAGGTTCTGAGGTCCAGTCTCTTGGCTTCCAAGCTTTGCTTTGCTTTGCTTTGCCGACGAGGTCCGGAGGCCTAGGGAAGACACTTACTCAAGGTCACCTTCCTGGTTGGAGTCTGCACTTAAAGAGACTTTGAGTCCTGATGCAAGGATCCGGGAGTGAGGAAGGTCTGAGCTTGAGGCTTCCACAGCCTCCTGGAGGGGCTAGCAGGAGCTGCTGGCCTCCGTGGGCTCTCTGTGACCTGAGCTTTGGGGACAAATCCACTCAGGATCAGAGTCGCTGAGGGAACGGAGGCGGTGTGGGGCGGTGGTTGTCAAATAGCACTGCCTGAAACCCGAGGGTTCCGCAAAAATGACTGAGGGACCCGAAATGGGGGGTGACCAAAGGGAGGACACACGGAGGAGACTCCCTGCCCCACTGTGGCAGCTCCACTCGGATCAGTTTTCCATAGCAAGTCTGTAACTGTGACCCAAATAAATGCATGGCCCCGCAGGCCCCACCTCCACACTCAGCCCCCTCTAAGAAACGGCAGTGCACCTGTCAGCGATGGAGTCACTTTCTCCCTCCCGACTCCCCAGTTTTCTCAGATCTGACAGTTGCTCTAACACCTCTCGTTGTTCCAACTCCAAAATGATCTTCCCAGCTTATGCTGGTTTTCCTCCCTCCTCTCTTTCCGTCCTCCCCCTTCCCTGAGCTCTTTATTATTTATCTTGACTTAACCTCTGGCTTAATCTCCCCCAAGCTGTCCCCCTGCCTCTCAGTTTTCTTTGGATCTGGACTATATGGGCTCAAATCAAGAATTCACCACTTCCCTGCTGGGTTAACTTCAGCAAGTTTCTTAACCTCTCTGTGCCTCAATTCCCTCATTTGTGAAATGAAGATGATAGAATGTACTTATTGATATGATGTACTTATTGATATGATACGTTGTGAGTATTGAACAAGTCCATTCATATTTAGAAGGTGCTTGGAAGAACGGGGTGAAGCAAGTCCCAGTTAATTGCTTGCTGTCATTATGAATATTATCTTAACAAATTCAAGTCACACAAGAAAGATTTACTTTGAAGAAAGGAGTTTGCTTTTTTTTTTTTTTTTTAAGTGTTTAAGAAGTTGAGTGGTGCTGATCTAGTACAAGCCCCTGGTCACTCATAAGGAACTGAGACCCAGAGAAGGGGGTAGAAGTGTCTGAGCTCGCATGGCCAGCCAATGGCAGGATGAGGCTCAGGTAGGACTCACAGTCCAGTGACCTTTCCCCATCCCCAATGTCTTCCATCAGCACTGTCACTTTGCCACAGCTATAGGACCTTTGATTTTAGCCTGGTGTCCAGGCCTGTCAGCCCCTGACCTATGGATTCACTGAGTCCTTCCACAGGGCTTAGTAAAATTCCAGTCACCTTTTAGCTTACGGCCACTGTCTTCCTGTCTTCCTCCCTTTTGTGTGCACTTGACCTCAGCCAATGAGGGAAGGGAGCCTGGCCCCTGGCTCTTCCCAGCATCCCTAGAGTCCTGGATACAGGACAGCCCATGCCAGCCCATCCTTGCTCTCTTCTGAAGGACTCTTGCCTGCCATGCATTTCTGATGAAGGGCTGGGCCACTGTGACCATGAATGTTTCCTATGGCTGTTGTAACAGAACACACGAATCTTGCAGTTCTGGAGGCCAGAAGTCCAGTTATAGGATTAAAATCAATGCGTTGTCAGGGCTGCCTTCCTGCTGGAGGCTCTAGGGGAGAATCCATTTCCGGCTCTTAGGGGCTGTCCGCATTCTTTGGCTTGTGCATATATCACTCTGACTTCTGCTTCTGTCCTCACAGCTCCTTCTCTGACACTCTTGCCTCTCTCTCATCTGAAATCTGTGATTACATTGAGCCCATTGGATAATCCTGCATAATCTCTGAATTTTAAAATCTTTAATTTAATCACATCTGCAAAGTTCCTTTTGCCATGTCAGTAATATACTTGCAGGTCTCCAGGATTAAGATTTGGACATCTTTTAGCCCAGTGAGACCCATTTTGGCCTCCAGAACTGTAAAATGATCAATTTGTCCTATTTTAAGTTGCTAAATTTGTGGTGTTTATTTTAGCAGCAATATAAGTCCTGACCAGCGTGAGGACAGGCAGGTCAAACACCAACCATCTTGCAATTTGTTGAGGAGGTGGTCCTGTCTTGCCTGTATAACCAGACCTCCCAACATCTGCTTCTAGAAGTTGGAATCCATCCACGCATTCAACAAGCATTTATTGAGCATCCACTCTGCTGAGGCCATTGCTCACTGGCTGCGTGACCTTGAGCAAATCACCTTTCCTCTGTGTACCTCAGGGACAATGAGGTAATAATAGTCCTTATTGTAAGGAACGAATGAGTTAATGCATGGAAAATACAGATTTCAGTGCCTGGCATCTGGTAAATAGTCGATTAGAAATTACTATTTGCATCATCACCATTATTTATTATTATAGTAGCTCAAGTCTCCTGGTAACAGAGATGAGAAGAGCTAGAGTAGATCCCAGGGTGTCATGAGTGAGCCGAGGAGGCAATAAATGATGGTGTGCTATTAAATGATAATAATAAGGTTTCTGGTGGTGGTTGGGGGGAGTTGCTTCTGGTTGTAGCATTTGCCAATTACTGTGGTGTAAATACTCCTACCATGACCAGCTTCATGCTAACAACATAATGTCCCTGAATGCTGAGCAGGGAAGGGATGCTAATGATTGGCCCTTGCAAGCCTGTGCCAGGCGGCTCCATATATTACTGCTCACCAGGGAAGCCAGGGCAGCACTCCCCAAGGCAGGACCCTGGGTAAACCTTGATGCGTGAGTAGCGGATAAATGAAGCAAGAGAGCAGAGATGCAGATGGAAATAAAAAATGATGAGCTTCTCTATCTTGCTAAGAACTGTGGGCTTTACACTGGCCTGGGAGAGCCATTGGTGACTGAAGCTCTTTCTCCACCCTGGAACCTTCTAGCTGGAACCTAAAACATTGTGGAAGCTTTACAAACAAACAAACAAACAAACAAACAAATAAAAACTCTAAATGACTGAGCTGCATCCAGATCAATGAAATCTGATTTGAGGTCTGGGGACCCACACTTAGGATTGCTTTGCAATTTCCCCAGGTGATTCTAATATGCAGCCAGGGTTGGGAATGGGTGCTGAAAGTCAGGAGTGACCCATCAGGTATGCATTATCCGGAGCTCACTCTAGCTCACTCAGACCTTGCAGGAGGCAGTATACATTGGTCCATTTTAAAGGGCAATTTGGCACTATTGATCAACCTAAGATATGCAGTCGCCTTCCCCGTTTACAATC